CAGGCGCCCGGTGTACCCTCTCCTTCCACTGATAGCCTTTCTTCCTTTTATCCTGAAGGTCCTTGCTGTTGGCCCTGGCCGGACAGTGTGCTCTGTCGCTGCAAGTTGAATAGACCAGGCTTTCGTTTTCTGGCACACCAGCCCTCTGTCCTGCCTGCAACTTTGGCCTGCTTTCGATTACTGTTGCCAGCAGCAGATGCCACTGTGTGGGGCCTGGCTAAACTTTCCAGAGGCGTCAGCTGTAAATAGTGCTAGCTCACATTTGGGACAGCGCTCTTGAGCTTCCAAAAGACTTTCCCATGTGTTAATCATCTTACTGGATTTATTCAACAGGTTGGAAGAAGACAGAGCAACTCTTATCCCTATTTCACAGTGAAAAAACCTGAAGCTCAGGGAGGTATAGGGACTGGCCAGAGTTGCAAGACTAGAAAGTGGCAGAATAAAAAACCAGGACTCTGAGCCTTGGTCCAGAGACTTTCGGCTGTCACTGTGTTTTCTTTTGTTTTGTTTTGTTTTTTTAAATCTCACTGATAACCTGTTGGATGACAGAACAATATGTTCATCCATGTCATGTTCTCTCTTTCATTGCATGAACGAATTGATAAGAAATATGAGAGTTGATTTCTCACTTGCATCTTTTAGAGCTTCACAACCTTGAAAATCACTCCCTTATCCCTGCTACCATTGATTTGCCATCTTTTAATGTGTGGGGAAAATAGTAATGTTGAAAGCCATTAAGCTGTCAGCTAATGGCACAAGGATCATCGTCAAACATGAACTTGGGTTGGACTCAGCCACATCCTTCCAGAGATAGCAGTGCTCCCCCGGATGTGCCGCAGCATCGAGGCCTTCGGGATCAGGGAGGTCAGCAGCGCTCCAAAAAGCCTTCACCTGAGGCTCTGCTGCAATTTGTCCAGTAACTCCAAAACTGAAACCTTAGTGACCATCAGAGATTTGGCTTTTTAATCAGGCTCTGTGAGGTTGGGTCTAAGATTAATAAGGGTAAGGTCTAGGATAAATCAAGGGAAAGCACCAGGAAAGAGGGGGATAAATTATCTTAATTCTTGCCTACGCATTGTCAATAGGTAAAAATAAGAACTGGAAGCTACTTCTGGGGGCCATTGACCCTTATCACCTGCCCCGCTTCAGGAGCTGCTTTCAGCCCAGGGCTAAGAAAAGGGGAAATCCAGCTAAAATCCTCACTGATGCTCCCCTCATTCCTTACTCGGGTCCTTTACAAGCCTTTGTGAGTGTCCACCATGGGCCAGGTATTGGGGATACAATGAAAAGCAAAAGACAGTGTTGATGTTCGGCTTTTTCCCACTCAAATCTAATCTTATTTCATTCCCTGTTGCTCTTATTCTTCTCACAGATCTGTATTTCTGATTCCTGATCATTTCCACCATTTTGGCAAGACATTCCACAGGATGAAATCACTGGTTCAGCAAAACATCCTGCCTCAATCTCTCCCAGTCCCCACTCTTCCTCAGGCCATGACAAGCCCTGGGTCCTCCTTCGTACACTGCAGGTCCCCTTTATTCCTCTTCCAGGGGATGTTCCTGCCAGGTTAGAGGTTGTGAACATGATATGAAATGAACTATAATCCTTATGTCTGCACAAGTTCCTTTGTATGAATGCATTTTATTTGAAGCAAAATGCCCTTCAGAGAGCTCATGTGATTTGTTTTTCATCCTTTAGCCTTTCTTCCTCATTCCCTGCAGAACTACCAGTTCCTTAGCCATGTGGTGTTTGTTGTTATTGATCCGACACTTCTCGTGCAAGGAGAGAATCGTGGTTGTCATGAGCCACTCTAGTGAGAGTGAACCCAAGGAATTTTACTGGGAATTCTGACATACAGAACCTTTCTTCTTTGTGGAGGTTGGTGGCATGAGGTTGTGAGGCGCATGCATTTGCCATGATGAATGAGCCTGGAGTTTCCAGGGAAAGTCTGAGGAAGGAGCCAACCGAGAGGAAGCAGAGATGAAAAATGGCCCCAGGAGATGCTGTGTGGGTCCTGAATCAAGCTGGGTCTGAACCATTACTAAATGAACTCAACCACCCCACTTAAAATTCTGACTTAAGTTTGGTTTTCTGTCCTGTACAAAAGGTCACCAACTGAGAAGCATCCTTAGGACAGGGCTTGCCAAATGGTGTGCCAATGGGTTGGCTTATAGATATTCTTGGGAGTGATCACCGCAGCCCCCTGGGGGGACTCGGGGCAGCCAGAGCTCCAGGGCTGCTCCAGCAGGTCATCTCCAGCAGCAAGTAGTTTTGTAACAAATACAAAATTTTAACCTACCCTATAATGGTGATTTTAAAACATGTTAGAAGTGATTTAATAGTCCTCTGTTCAAAATGTAGAACCTAATTCTCCTTCTCTTGCATGTGGACTGAACTTGGTGATTTGCTTCTGGCAGACACGAGGGAGCATGATTTCTGAGGCTAGACCATAAAAGATATTGGCACTTTGGCCTTGCTTCTCTTTGAAAGCGGCCGTGTCATGGGGGCGCTCATGCAACCTGGGAGAGGTCCACATGCGGAGGAACTGTGGCCTCCCATCGATGACCAACACCAACGTTCCAGCATCACGAATGAGCCACTTTGGAAGAAGATCCGCCAGCTTCAGTCAAGCCCTCAGAGAATGGTAGTTCTGGCCAGTACGTTGACTGGAAGCTCATGTAAGACCTTAAGTCAGACTGCCCAGCTAAGCCACACCTGAAGTCCTAATCCACAGGAACTGGGCAAGGTACTTACTGTTCATTGTTGTTTTAAGCTAGTTATTTTGGGTTTCTTTGCTGTGCCTCAATAAATAACATTTACATCCACGATGTGAAGAAGATTGGGAAGCATTGCCTTAAGTCCAAAAGATACACTAGATTCTGTGGACACACCCAGCATCCTGAAATATATTAAAACCTTCAGGGTTCTTTTGTGGGGGGCGGGTGGGGGCAGAGGGCAAAGTGATCATCAATTGCAGCTTTACAACATTTGAGATAACAAGCATTTAAAAATATATTCGAGGCAAAAACAAAGGCTTCCTGTCTTTGAAAACATACTTGCAACCAAAATGACTAATGCCAGGTTTAAAAGGTTTTTGTCTTAAATAAATCTATTGTCATGGATAGGGCTCCTTATTGAATAGAATTATGGACTTTAAGACAATGTGTGTCAGAAAAACACGATTAGGTCTATGCAGTATATTTGAGTTTCATTTTTCTAAGATTGTTAAGAGAGAGTGACAATCGCACCCTTGACCTTGCTGAAGGCTGAGAGGCATGAAGCCAGCCAGAAGATTTCTCCAATAAGCTTTCATGAAAGAGTTTGTCAAAGTTAAATCAAGATGGCTTTCATGGCCTATCAGGTTTCTCTAATTTTCAGAAAACAAAAAGCCTAATTTGCTTTACCCCAGGAATGTTTAAAATGCTTCTTTCTTGGCCCTGGCTGGGTAGCTCAGTTGGTTAGAGCATTGTCCCGATCCATCAAGGTTGCTGGTTGGATCCCGGGTCAGGGGACATAAAAGAAATAACCAGTGAATGCATAAATAAGTGGAACAACAAAGCAAAGTTTCTCTCTCCCTTTCCTCTCTCTTTCTAAAATCAAGAAAAATAAATAAAATGCTTCTTTCTTAACCCCATATTTAGACTACCTAATCAGAGGATCTATGTCCAAGTTCTTTGTTTATGCCATTAAAGAAGTGTAGCAATGCCTCCAGTTTATTCATAGCTTTTACTTAAAGAACAACCAAACCATCTGGAATTGAGAAAAGAGCTGGGATTAGCTCAGAGAGAGTATGAACAGCCAAAACCAATGTTGACCAGTCCGTATACCCCAACTCCACAAGCTTTACTTCTAGGTAATCCCGCAGGCTCTCCATCAGAATCCTGTTGGATTCTGAACCCATAGGTCATAGGCATCAAGTTATAAAAAGTAGAAGCATCTAGTACAGTAGCCACTAGCTACATGTTGCTATGAAGCCCTTGAGATGTGGCTAGTCTTAATTGATATTAAGTGTAAAGCATAAAACCTGTAAGTATACAATACATGCATATAGATTTCAAAGACTTAGTATGGAAAAAAAGAATGTAAAATACCTCATTAATACTTTTTATATTGATTGCATTTTGAAACGATAATATTTTTTATATACATCTGGTTAAATAGAGTGTATTATTAAAATTCATTTCACTCATTTCTTTTTATGTTTACTGCGGCTTGCATTATATTTCTATTCGACAGTGCTGTTCTAGAAGCAGGCCTACTCACACTCATTCATTTAGTCATTCAACAAATACCTATTGAATGCCTTCTGTGTGTTGAACCCTGGGCTAGGGGACAGGAATGCAGTGGTTAGCACAGTCCCTACACTTGTGAAGCAAGTGACTCATACTGTGGTACAAGAGAGACTAAAAAAAGAAATTTTGTGACAATAGGTATCTAAAAGCAGGGGACTTTAGTCAGGAATATCTTAGGCTATTAGGATTCTTAAGACTCTTAAGGGTAAAAGCCAGCCCTTCATGACTTAGCATCGAACCCCTGTTGTTGAGAGCAGAATGTAACAGGTGCCATTCTCGAGTCATTCAGGAACGGCTGGTTTCCACAGGGCCTGTTGTGGGCTGCTGTGCATCACGGCTATACACACAGAGAGTCTCTTCCTCACCAAACTGAGAGATTTTGGCGGGTAATGACAATGTTATTTAACCTGGTCTCACCCAGTACCTCCCAAACAGAAGATGCTAAACAACACATGGAATGAGGATACCTCATCGAGACTCATTTAAGAGAGCAATTAAGTGTATAATACATTTTAAAAAGGGCTCTGCCCAAAATGCTTAAAAAACAAAGTTTGCCACTTAAACTTAAGCTTTAGTGAATAAAAAAAGAAGTCCTCTCTCAAAATATAAATTCATGCAGACCTGATGGTATAAACAAAAGCTCTGGATATCCAAATTCAATTCTCTCTCAGGACCAAGAATAAATACTGAGAAGAGCTATGAGCCTGGGTAGCACCGCTGGACAGAGGCCATGGCCGTGCACGCGTCTTTTCTCTGAAGCGCCTTCTAAAACTTTAAGACTTGTCAATATAAAAAACACAAGTTGCAATGGGAAACACTTTCTTTAAAATTCTTATTACATTTTTAGTACCAGTCAGGATAATCAGTCATATTACAAATATATAATTTAAACTCAAGTAACGATTTAGTTCATCTTTCTCCTAAAATACACTGTCAAAATAAGTCAAAGCTGACTGGATTCTGTGATATATACATGCGGATGGACAGCACAGATTCTTTTATGAAAGAAGAGATATAATCCTTTTATAAAAATAAACTTGGTCCCAGAGAGGAGGAGAAAAAGAGTGAGCAAGCTTGAGCATAAGAAAAAATGCAAAGCATTATAGGAAAATTGTTTCAATTTAAGTGAAAGCGGCATCCACAACTTTTGGCTGACCGCTGAGTACCATGTATCTCCTCAATCAGTGCTTCGAGTATATTCCTCTATAAACACATGTTAAATTAACTTAACAGTAACAATAAAGCAAAAATAACTATACAACAATTAGTCCACTGTTACTGAAAGGAAAACAAAGTCACAAGTAATTAATCTATGACCAGATTTCCAAACATTGTGATTTTTAGATTTCTAAGACATCCCCACCCCCAGGCCAAGAGTCAATGAACACGCTTTGCGCTCTTGCACCCCTCCCTCCTTTCCCACAGAGAGGGGATGAGTGGCGTTTGCTCTGAGTAGGCTGGCGGACGCGCTTCTCATTTTCCCTGGGCAATCTGGGTTGATCCTGCAAAGCCTAACACGGGCCAAAGGAAGTCACCTTTCAGGTGGACAGTTACTGACCACCCAGCAGGAGATGCTGTTTATGCCTCACTTTTATACAACATTGTGAAAAACCATGCTTTAATAAATACACAGGTACCCTGATGAACCACCCTCTGTTACCCTATGCTCCTCAAAGGGACAAAATATGATCAGATCCCATTGTGCTCATTTGGATCCCAAAGTTTCCAGAGCGCTCTCTGGTCAGGGAGCATGTCGTCTGTCCTGCATAGCAAATGTCCTATGTTTTAAGTACCGGCGAGACCTTCTCTGGGGTCACAGAACCTCAGTCTCTTGGGTGAAGGCAGCTCTTCTTAGCTGCCCTGTGACAGCTGGGTTTCACATTTCCTCAGACTAGATCGGTGGAAGGAGTCTCTGAAATTAGGGAGGGAGAGAAAAGAAAAAGAGGTAAGAAAGATCAATTAGACTTCTAAAGGGGGAGGGGAATCACTCACTAGAAAAAGACATCAATCATAGAGAACTCAGTAAATAATTAGAGAAGGCACTGAGGTCCTTTTACACTGAGCCAGAAAATACAGTGTAAAAACTGTGGAGGAGGCTGGCAGAGGGCCCACAGGAAGGGTCCCGGTGAGGGCAGGGGAAGGTGCGGGGAGGGTCCGGACGGAAGCAGAACACGGACCGAGCTCTGGCAGCTGCTCCGACTCCAGGCCACCCTCTGCCCTCTGCGGGGTGTGCGGCAGAGGTGCCCGGACTGCCGGCCTCGAGCCCTGTCCTTCATCTCCCAGGAGGAGGCCTTCTCTGCCCTATTCTTACCTCTTTTGACTCTCAACTCTGAATATTGGTTTGTAGAGTTCTGGAATTTTCCGCTTGATCATGGGCCTGAGGTTCTCTTTCAGCTTCTCGTAGTTCTTTTTGAGTTCCTGTTGATACTCCCTCTGGTCTGCCGTGATGAGGCGCCTGTTTTTCTCTACGGCCTCACCGCACCTGAGATGTGTGAGAAAATGAGGTTTTATTTCATAGGAGTTTGAAGCACTTAGAAATATGGAATGATGATATCATCAACATTTCTTGAGTAACCCTACAGGTGTTTGCAAACTTGATGGCCTATTGGGATCACCTGCGTAGCTCTTCAAAATGCAGATGTCTGGGCCCCTCCTCAGACTTAATAAACCAGAATCTCTAAAGGGCAGCACCCAGGAATCTGTATTTTGAAAAAGTTGCCCAGATGAGACTGATGCTCTGATTTGCTCTGTGCTAGCCACTATTCAAGGAATTTCACATGCACTATGCAGTTAATTTTTCCAACAAAACCGGGAAGTCTATGTTTATCTCTAGTTTGACCATGAAGCTCAGAAATGTTAGGTTGCTTGCCCAAGATAACACTGTGGAGAAGAAGTGGATCCAAGATTCAAACTCAGGTCACTGCAGATTGGAAGCTCTTATGCTTACAAGAAACTCACCGTGGCTTATGGCGACACAGCAGACGCCATTCAGGACCCTACTGCCTCAGACACATCAAGTGCCGGAAAAGCACAACAAAAATTTGTTGAAAGAGAAAGGGAAACCCCAGGTACCAGAAAGGAAGAGAAAAATCAAAAGCACAGTGACAGCTGGAGCTGGTGCCACGGCAGCTGCCAGGAGGACTGCCTGTCAGGATCTGAAGACCACACGCAGGCCCTGGAGGCGGGGGCTGGGAGGCGGGTTTCAATGCCCACACAAGAGGAGGGAGGTACCTTGCCCAGGGTGGAGCGGGGTTCAGGAAGTGGCCACCTGCCTGCAGTTCAGAGCCCTGAAAAGCTACCCCATCTATGTAAAAGGGTCTAGAAAAAAAGCTGAAAATTGTCCAGAGAGGTGGAACAGAAGTTTGTTTTTTGTTTTCTTTTTCCCACCTTGGGGCCATTAATAGGAAAGGAAGTCACCCAAAGAAATTGAAATTCTAGGCTTGCACCATGTGGGTATGCATTACTAATTTATATTCCTCTATTTTGGGTGCTCCAGTGAACTATAAAATCAGACCAAGATTACTGACATCCCTAGGGCTCAGGCGGAAATAAATGTAAAGTTGCTCTGGAGAAACAGTTTCTTAATCAGGGTCCATGGGCTACCCATAGATGGAGTGACTCTTGCCAAAGATGAGCTCACAGTAAAAATAATTACAAACCATATGAGGAAACCAACCACCATGAGGGAGAACCGACAGATGCTACAAACAGGAGAATTAGCCCAATAAGAATCAGAGATAATAGAATAATGTAAAAGCCCAAAGTTAATACAGAGTGGGAGAGTATGAAAAAAGAGATCAGGAAAATTTCAGAAAAGAACTAAATAGAACTTCTAGAAATAAAAATGAAGTCACTAAAATAAAAGAAAAAACAATCTCAATGGATAGGTTAAACAATAAACTAGGCACAACTGGAGAACTCATGAACTGTATGACAGATCTAAGAAAATCACCAAAGAGAGAAAAAATTTTAAATATGAAAAAAATGTTTAAGAAACCTGGAGATATGTGTATAATGGAGATGCCCAACACACATCTAAAAGAATGTTTAAAAGAATGTAAAATGAGTAAGAGGCAATACTCAAGAGATAATAGCTGATAATTTTCCAGAACTGAAAACCTAAGTCCTCTCATCAATAAAAACAGCTCTATACCGAGCCCTACCAAGGTGGACCTGTAGAGCATTAAAGAGAAAATATTAAAGACTCGTGTTTATCTAACTTGGAGACAGTTAAGCCTAGTGTTTTCATGGTTTCCCACACAGTATGGCACATACCAAAGAAGAAAAATCATATCATTTAGACATAATAAAGCCTTGCCCTTTATACTGTTCTGCTCAAGGGAACTTACATACCAACAAACCTTGAAGGAACAATGCAAGGGCTGAAATTTAGCTGACATGCAATAATTAGTAACATTTCTATTACCCTTCAGATGAATAGGACTCTGGTGATTAATGTGTTTTAAACTGTTTTCCTAACAGTGGTGCTAGATTTTGGTTAAATTCAGGGGATTCTCAGACCTGGTTATCCGATTCTCCCAGTCCCCACTGCACACATGTCCTGGATGGCAGTCAAAGGCGAAGAGGGTGGCCTGTTGCTAGGGGGCCGGAGAAAGCTAATTATGCAGAAATAGCCTATGAGCACAGTTTCGTCACAGAATTAGGCTGCTGCGAAAAAAGGAGTTGATTGAACTCAGCCCGAAGCCAAAAGAGCTCCTTTACCTGGATGTTCACCCATCTTTTAAGTCTGACATTAACTGAAGCAAATTGTAGGACACCTAAGGTTATAAACCAAAGGTTTCGAGGAAGGGATAGGAAGGGGAGGTAGCTAGCCTTTGACTCCTGAGAAATCTACATCACCCCTTGTCATTTTTTATTGCTGCTTCACTAACAGTTGTGAGCTACCACATGTGTAAAATAAAGTCAGTTTCCGGATGACTTTGAGGCCAAGGTTTATAACATAGGCAGACTGCAGTTGGCCTGCAGAAGCTGGCTGCTCACCTGGGGACATCTGCTCTGAAAACTTCGGGAGAGTTAACTAAGTTTTCTGTGGCCTGTGTTATCAGAAGTAATAATAGCCACCTGTCACATACTGATGGCATACCATGCTCTTTACAGGCAGACACAGCTGGGGCTGAAACCCAATTACTGCTCATTAGCATAGTGATTTAGCCATTGAAATCCTATTTTCTCATTTGTAAAATGGGAATAATAATCTCATAAATCTCTTAGAGTTGTTGGGATAATTAATGAGAAGCTGTGATGATAAGGCAGATAACATGCTTTTGGAGTGTGGCGGATGGTTTTTCAAAAGCGATCACAGCAATGATTGCACATCCCACATTTCCTTCCTGAACTTTGGCCCATCCCCAGCAAGGATGGGCGGTCCTTTGTGACTGCCTCAGTGAACACAATGCACAGTAAGTGATGCTGTGTGACTGGGTAATGTGGCTTCTGCCGGCTGTCTCTCCTGGGACATGTACATTTGGGGTGCTGGACCTCCTGCGATTTGAGTATTCTTGGCTTAGACACGGGATGTACAAGTAAAGAAGCCTTTAGGTAACTCAAGCTCTAGCCACTATCTGTCACTGAGTGAGAGACTCTGAGCAACTCCGCCGAGCCGGGCCCAGCCTACCCCCAGAACCACACGCATAAGAAGGGCTGCTACTGTTGTTTTAAGCTTCTAAGTTTTGGGCTAGTTTGTTACACAGCAATAGATAAACATAGTATTTTTACACTGACAAATACATTAATAGGTGGAGAGAAAAATATCCATATTTTTGTAGTAATATTATCTTATATTTTAACAAATTTTATAATTTATAATAAAATTGTTTCATATATTACATTTTCTGTATTTCTTTTTTTCTTCCATTTGGATTACATTCTCTAGATTTCCTAATTAAAATTAAATAGTTTCCACTATGTTAATTTAAATCAGTGAATTAAAGAGAGCCATGCACTAGATTTCCCTCCTAGAGGATAGGCATATCTTGTGGGAAATGCACACAGGATCACAACTGCATTGCAATTAATTTTCTTTAAAAATGGTCTTATCTGTAACATTTCCATCAGGTTCACTAGCACTACCATTCCACTCCTCTGCTGCTCCCTTTGTTGATAAATTCACTGAACACAAGCATTTTCTTACAGAGAACGCGCCTGGGGCTTTTCAGCAGTCAGAGCCCTACAAACCAGACTGAAGGGGACCAGACTGGGGAGGAAGTTGTGCTTCTAGAACATGGCTTCTAGCTTTTGCTGAGTTACTTTCTGGTGCCTCCTACAGAGAGGGTGGTCGTGCGGCCCTCACTCTCTGCATCTGTTGGCCTCCCTCCTCTGCAGTGCTCCTTTAGCACACCCCACACATCAGTCCTTCAGTAAGGCACAAAAATGCTGTTATTTTCTCAATATCCATTCCCTTTCATCCTTAGGTATGTCCCCGCCCTGGAAAATTACATTCCCTGGCCTCCCTTAACAGATAGGAATGGCTGATGAGATATAACATAAAGTCACTAGGAAAAGTCATTAAAGGGGCATAGCCTTTTGCTCTTTCCTCATTTTTACTCCAGGATGTGGTCGTGATGGCCAGAGCCCTGGCAGCCATTTTGTGGTTGTGAGGCTGGGTGTACTATAACCAGCGTGATAAAGGAAAAGAATGGAAAGGGCCAGAGTCACTGATGATTTCTGAGGTGATCACACAGCTCTGGGATCACTATATCTGATTTTATTTTATATGATAGAATAAGTTTCTATATCTTTAAACAATTCTCCACTATTAGTAAGTGACTGTAGTTCCTAGAGAGAAATGCACAGCACAGTGGTTACTAGGGAAAACTCTGGAGCCAAAGTGCTCAAGTATGAATCTTGCTTTGCTGCTTACTGGCTGTTGACATCAAGCAAGTTACTCAAGCTTCCCATGTCTGAGTTTCTTCTTCTGCAGTGTGAAGGAAATAGGCTACCTCATCATTTATTGTGAAGATTAAATGAGTAAAACATATAAAATTCTTAGAACAGTACTGGCACATAGCTAAAGCCTAGAACACATTGATTATTATGGACCCAGTCTGAGTACAGAAACTATTTGTTCAATATGAGAAGGATGAACTATTAAAAACTGATTATTCCAGTCCCTTGTTTTTCATAGTTGATGAAAATAAGATGAAAAGGGATGAAGTGCCCTGTCCAGAGCTCCACACCTGTGGGAACAGCAGAGTTGGATATAAATCCAGGCTCCTGCTGTTCCCAGGCCAATGTTTCACCAGCCCCACCACGTCTCATGGTATGAACCTTAGTGATGCAGGCAAGACCCGGGTAGATGGTCTCTCTATAAATCAGATCAAGTCTCTGTTCCTATCTGAATTGACAAGGTCTCTATTTGCCCCACTGAATAATGTTATACTTATCAATCACCTAGCTTGTGCCAAAGCCCTATCCTAAGCTCATTGAGTTGTTGTTGTTATTATTTATCCAGACACTAACTTTAAGAGGTATTCACTGTTATAGTTGGGGAAACCGAGGTTGGGTAACTTGCCCAAGGTCCCATCGCTAAGTTAAGGCAGGGTGGGTATTTGAACCCGGCAACCTGGCTCAAGAGCCCACCCTCCTGACGCCAACTTCACAGACGCTGCCCAGGAAAGACACTGACTTTTCCAGCCACCATCCAGGCAGATGCCCTTGGTCTCAGGTGGAAACTATTCTCTCTGGGGTCCCAATTTGTAGAGTCCTGCCTTCCTCAGTTTCTTCCTGGTAACACTTCAGCAAGTCCTCACTCAGGGCCCAGTGAAAACACAGCAGCTGGGGTGAGGGGAGAGTCTGACAGAGATACTGGAGACGCTGCCGGCTGGCCCCCCCTTCCTCCCGTGACTGGAGGAATGTGCACGGGGTGGCCAAAAGTAAGTTTACCGTTGTGAGTGACATTCTTTAGAGTTTAGAAAGCTCTTGCAACAATCATAACCTGCATGTCTTTTCCCATTCAAACAACTATAAACCCACTTTGCCCCCCACCCCGTATGCTGCAGGCCCTCTAAGGTAGAGAAGGGTTATTGGGGGCAGGGCTCCAGAGGAATAGCCAGCCTCTGCAGGGGAGCTCCAGCGGAAGGAGTCCCAGGGCCACATCCCAGTGGCGTTCTCCAAGCCTGTCCCCTTCGTGTCCTCCCTCGCAACCTGACCCCTACTAGACCCCCAATCTCCAGGGCACTCCTGTCCCAGTGGAAGACTAGTTCAATTCTGGTTCTGCCACTTACTTGTTGCATGACCTTGGGCCAGTCATAACCTCCTTCAACCTCATTTTCTTCATCTATAAAATGGGTTTTTGGGGACGAAATGGTGGCAGGTATATGAGGACCTAATGGAGTGGTTGCCCGTGGGGAGGGCTGGTGAGGCAATGCCGCCAGCCTTTCCTGGAGCACGCAGGGCCTGCAGCCCGACAAAGGCTCTCCTGCCGTGTGCCCCGTTCGCTGCAGACGGGGAGGCACGAGCCTGAACGCGCACAGCACTGTGGGGGCAGGGAGCGCACCCCAGGCAGAGGAGGAGCGGCTGCGCCCGCCCGATCTTCCTGCTGTCCCCTCGGAGCCACCTTTACCTGCCCTGCTCGGGCCTGTGTTCCCATGTCCATCAGGGAAGCCACAGCGGCCTCTCCCCTCCTAGGGGCAGAGGTGGGGAGGGGGCTATCTTGGGGCTACAGGCTTGGGAAGGCACCCAATCTCCTATCTGACACTTGGAAGCAGATTCTGAGGACCTACTAAACACACTAGAACCCATGTGGGGGTTAAGGGGGGGGGTCTCTCCCCCATCAGACTATAGGCTCGTCTTTAGTGCTGGATTCACATTACACGGGCCCTGGGATTCTGTCCTGAAGGGCCCTGTGGTTTCAGTGGTCATGTTCTCTAATTTGGTGTCAGCCCTGCAACCCTCCAGCCAGTGCCCCGCCCCTGAAGCAAGAGGGCCCTGGCAAGCCCTGAGGACCCAGAGCTTGACCAAGAGAGTTGGGGATGGGGTGGGTCCGAGTGGCAGACAGGACCGCCCTCTAACAAAACTGGGTATTTTTCCTTTAGAATCATTGCAGCTAGATGGGAGGGGGAGGAGCCATGCTTGCATGTGTGTGCACATGTCTATGCATGCCTGTGTGCATGTGTGTAAGCTGCTCCACTTGTCTCTCAGTTTTCTGTGTAGCATCCTAGGCCGCAATACTGGTTTCTGTGACACTGGAAAAGTAACAAAGTCATTCGTATGTCTCCACTATTGACCTGTTTCTGAGCAATCTCTCATATTTAAGGCTTTGTTTTCCCACCAAATATTCAAATCTCTTTCTACTTACTACTTTGGTTTCCACCTACACTGTACACATTTGGTTTCCTTTGTGTACAATTCCCTTTCCTTCTTCATAGACTTTAACTCCGGTTTTAAAACACCACGGTTCAACACTCTATTTTCTGACTATATGAGCATATATGCACAGTGGAAACAATCTGTAACTGGGGCCATTGCATACTGCTATTTTTTATTTAAATATAAGAGTGAATCAGTCCTGGCTGGTGTGGATCAGTGGATTGAGCGCCAGCCTGCAAACCAAAAGGTTGCCAGTTCGATTCCCAGTCAGGGCACATGCCTGGGCTGCTGGCCAGGTGCTCAGCAGGGGCTGCGTGAGAGGCAACCACACACTGATGTTTCTCTCCCTCTCTTTCTCCCTCCCTTCCCCTCTCTAAACATAAATAAAATCTTAAAAAAATAAATATAAAAGTGAATCTAAAAATAATTTAGTCTTGACAGGAAAGAGAAAGTTTAGATTGTATTATGAACTAAAGTTATATGTTGAAACTAACCCATTGTGTGATGGTATTTGGAGGTGGAAGCTTTAGGAGAAATTAAGGTTTAAATCAAGCCATTAGGGTGAGGCCCACATGATGGGATTAGTGGCCTTATAAGAAGAAATGACAGAGAGCTTTCTCCCTCTTCCTCTCTCCACCACCTAAGTATACAGTGAGAAGGTGGCCATTTACTAAGTATACAGTGGGAAGAGGGCCCTCACCAGGTTCTGAATCCGCCAGCACCTTAATCTTGGCCGTCCCAGCCTTCAGCACTGTGAGAAAAAAGTGTCTGCTGTTCAAACCACTCAGTCTATATGACATTTTGTTTTACCAGCCTGCGCTGACTAAGACAGAAAGGTAAGAAGAAGAAAATTTAAAACACAGATCGGCATGAATTGCAGTGTCTAGAAGAGTTTCAGTGCTTTGGGGAGCAGGTGGGGGGCGGGGAACACAACGTTTGTATCTGTCCATCTTGGGCTCTGAAACTCTGAGGTATTTTTTGTTATCGCAAGAAAAGGTAGTAGGGGCTTGAGGTCCCAACTTGGCAACAATCTCAAGAGCCGTGGAACTGGCTGGATGAGCACCTACTGCAGCGGCCAGCCTGCCAGATTCTTTATGGCTGCATCCGGTTTGGCAGCAGCTGAGTCAGAACGGCCACTGCCCAGTGGAGGGACCCAGCTGGAGCGCCGGGCTAGCGTACATTTCCACTTCTAGCAATCGGTGTCGGCAGGTGCATTTAGGTTCACCTTGGATATCTGGGCTTTCGACCTGCAGGTCAAGTCTGCTGAGAAGGTGGAGTCACTAGAGGGGAAAACCTGAGAGCTGTTCCCAGCCCCTGACCCTGACACCCCCCCACCCCTGCCCTGCCCTGACATTTTCCACTCCTGGGTCACCTCTGCTGCCTGAAAGCAGAATGGGGGTGGGGAGAAAAAAAACAAGGTACAAACAAATGTGACAAAATTGTTACTCTGCTCATTAAAAAGCTCTCAGAGGCTGACTGGATTTGAAAATCAATTAAGCGATGAGGGAAAGGAAGGCTTCCATATCTACTACTAGTATTGTGGGTACAACTTTCAGACCATAACACTCACCCATTTAAAATGTACATTTTGATGAGTTTTACTGAATTTATACAGTTGTGCCATCTTCACCACAATCTCTCCTGCTACTTTTGATCTACATGAACTACAGTGAAACGAAAGTCAAGTCAACCACTGTTTGGCACGGATGTGAAACAGAAAGCAGCAGTGTTGTTTTGCCTGTAGCCCTGTCCCACGTGTATGGGGACATCTTCACTTTGCACATGTGCAGCACCGTGCCTGGCACAAAGCAGGGGCTTGGTAAGTGTTTGCTGAATAAATGAATGAACGAACTCTATCGTTGTCTCAAAGGGTGATAGTATGGGCACTTATTGTTTTGAAGGGAGGAAAGAGAAGAAAAAAAAGGTGAGTAAAAAGAGGCAGGACCTGAGGGATTAAGGCCCTGGGAAGACGGGGAAGGAAAAAGAAAATGTGAGAGGCGGACAATCGAGCAGCCTCTGCGGCTTTACACCCTCTACTCAAAGTTCAGCCCCACCCAGCAGCCCCAGCAGCACAGGAAAGCTTGTTAGGAATGGGAATCTCAGGCCCCGCCCCACACCTCCTGGATCTGATCTGCATTTTGACAAGATTCCCAGGTCATGGGGTTGGCAGGTTTGCAGGGTTTGCGCAGTGCCACCTGAGAGGCAGTGATATTCTTGCGGGGTTCCTAGAAAAACAGCAGCCCAACCAGCAGTGGGGAAGGTGGGACTGCAGGCTGGTTTCCCCTGTGAATCACCAGTAGGGCTGGAGGACATTTTAAATGGGGAATTTGTTTTTGAAAATCCCATATTTTTGCAGGCTGCCTGAGGGAGAGCGATAACATCACAAAAAGTCCAATGCATGATTCTGTTAAAGGCTGGTGCCTAGGAAGATCCACTTCTTTTTGTGTATCTTGCCAGGAACTAGTTTAACTCAGCCCTGGTTCTCTTTGTAGTCACTTATCCTGGGGCACGGAGCTAATTGCAAATCCATGTTCAGTGTAGATTTTATAAGTACCTTTTAACTAAGGAACAAAAATCATGCCTTCTCTGAACGAGCTTTCTTTTACATTCAAATTCTACGCAGAGTCCCGTTTACCAATACTGCTGTCTTTCAGGTCTTTCCTCCTTGTCCAATCATGTTCATGAAAATGTGCCACTCTTGCTGACTCAGAGGAGCCCAGAGGTGCCCTGGACCTTCCTGCTCCTCAAACGTGTGGTCATGTCAGTCCCCTTACCTGTAATAACTCCTTCTTCCTGCTACCCACTTTCTTCCACCTATACATTTTAAGACAAGGTTTAAGTGATATTTTCCACAAAGCCTTCCCCAGCTATTCCAGCCTATAACGGACTGTGCTCTCTAGAACGCTGTAGCTCTGTATCTAGTGCACTCTTTAAAAAAAAAAAAAAAAAAAAATATATATATATATATATGGAACACTTCATGATTTTGTATATCATTCTTGCTCAGGGGACATGCTCATCTTCCCTGTATTACTCTAATTTTAGTATATGTGTACAAAAGTGAGCACTATTTAGTGTACTCTTAACAGTTCTTAGCACATGCTGCATGGTGTCGTTATTTAGCCCTGCAAATTTGTGTCGCCTTGTCAGGAGTGGAAGAATACCCAGCTCTGGCATTCCCACAACTAATATCAGACCTGGGTTAGACTGCATGCTCACTCAAAGTTTCCTAAGGTCCTTCAGAAGTCCAGGGAGGTCTGGGCCACTGCCAACCTCAGTGGCCTTGAACCATAATTAATTTTAAATGAAGATACGTGGAAAGTAAACAAAATAGCAAAACATAAAAATAGTGAATAAAAATTTTCCCAATATTTTCTAGTCTTCTGTTTTATGAAAATGCATTATTTATTGAAGAAAATCTAGCTTTTGTGTAATGCTAGAATTGTTATCAAACACAGGAAACAATTCAAATACCAAGACATTAATAATTATTATCTCTGTGCATACATGCATACACACAGAGCCACCCCCACCCACCCCCTCCTGCCAAGCAGCTGCGATTCTTCTCTGTACACACCAAATTTGCATACATCTCACCAAAGCCTGTGAAGGAGGAGAGATCTCTAGCCTCACCCAACATTAGGATTCTGATGAGTTTTCACTGAATTTAGCAAACTTTAACTTTTAGCCTCCTTTATCCCCATCTACCAAGTAACGACAATCCTATACTTTATATGCTGCTCTAAGGCTCTGGGTGAAAGAAATATTGGTATGCACTTTTCTCATGTTTTTTCTTATGAGTGAAATGCCATCTCATCCTTCATAATCATCCGTTCTAGGGCCACAGGAAACCCAATATACCTGTCTGCATTGCAATAGACTGCAAGACCTTGCCCAAAGAGCCATGCTGGACAGGCTGCTCTTGAAGCCAGTTCCACTGCAGAATTTGGGAGCAGAGAAGAGTCTTGTCTGACACTGGGAATTGCTGGAGATGCTTTGAAAGAGCCCAGTTTTAGAATATTGACTTTGTCTCTCAATTTGAGGCAGTGTCTATTTTTAAGTTTATAAAAATAAGTTGTTATGTGATACAAGAAACTACACAGGCTGCCAAAGCCAATAGCCTCTCAGACTCTTAACGCATCACGGACTATCAGCACCTTGATGGAAGTGTGGGCTACTTCGTTAGATTCAGAAGACCTGGATTTGAACTACACTCTGCTACTAATGGGCTGTGTGACCTGTAAAGTCATCTTCCATCTCTGAGACCCTGTTTCCTCTTTTGTAAAATGAGGATGGTGATAATACTTGTTTTATAATGACTGTGAGGCACACGTGGGATGATAAACACAAACTCTTTGTAGTTGAAGTGGCAGTTACGTAATAGTGGTACAAGTAGCGTTTCTCTACTGCAATGGTTCTCAAACTCGAGCATGTGTCAGAATCCCTGCAGGGCTTGTGGAAACACAGATTGCTGCTCTCCCCCCACCCCACCCCCACAGATTCTGATACAGTGGGTTTGGTTGGTGCCTGAGAATTTGCCTTTCCAGTAAGTTCTCAGATGATGCTGGTGCTGCTGGCCTGGGGACCACACTTTGAGAACCTCTGCTTTACTAACTCCAAGCCGATTTCCTTCTTACCGCATTATGAATTCCTTAAAGCATAATCTCAACTTGTTGTGATGTCGATAGAATTTTGGATCAGCTGGAATTTCGGCCAAAAACACTTGGGCAACTTCCAGTGGTCCCTGAAGGAAAAAGTAAAGAAACAATGTTGACATTGGAAATAAAACAAAATCACTTGGGAGAAAAATCTTGGCATGACTTCTTAATTTGAACATCTAATTTTGTAGTTGGTTTGACTAAAACAAACAAAAAAAATCAAGGAAGGTCTTAAACTTTTCAGGAATCTTTGATTCTCAAGGAGGAGTCTGAAGTTCTCAGAGAATACTCAGAAGAATAAATGTATTTTCTTAATCAGATGCTACTAATAATAGGTTTCCCTTCATATATAAAGATAATGCTACTACATCAAGCGGTAAATGCTTCGAGCTGCTTCTCTAGAAATGGGGATTGTCTTGCTCCTTCCATTCACACTCACTTGCCCAGTTGTCCTAGGGGCAAATGCCATTTTGTGTAACTCCTGGCTTGAGTCATGAAAATGAAGAGTTCATATGTTGTCCCATACATATGTATAGGTTGTGGGCTTATACAGTCTTCTACTCTCATCAAAGGATTGGGACTTAGAAAAGCAAAAGCTTCCTAATATTTTTCTGATCTTGGAAATATAATAGTCATTTCTCCTCTCTGCTATATTTGTTCCCTTGAGGTCTAGTGGACATGAATTGAGCAGGGGAGTCCAATTATGCTGAGTGAGGGAAGAGTCACAATTCTTAAGAGTTTTTGACTGCAGGGGTGTGGACAAATATGGATTTAGATCTGAAATTAAAGTGGTCCACTGGACAGAGAATACTAAGCTAGTCCCTCCCTCCACCTGACACGGAATTAACTAATCCATACTGAATTTGGGAGTCAGGATTCTAACGGGTCCGAGTAGATCCAGTCTGGTCTAAACTGATCTGAGAAACCTGATCCCAGATTCCTCTTGGTTAGCAAGACTTCTGGCATGCTGGGTTTATCAGATGACTGACTCAGGGGTACATGTTCTAGACCAAGGGTCCCCAACCCCCAAGCCCTGGATGGTCCGTGGACTGTTAGGAACCAAGCTGCACAGTAGGAGGTGAGCAGCGTGAGCGGGAAAAACTTGCATTATCGCCTGAGCTCCGCCTCCTCCCCCTCATACCACAGACCCCTGTCCGTGGAAAATTCTAGACCCTTCCCCCATTCTCCTACAGGCATTCTTAGATTAGCTTTAAGCTGTGCAACAACTCTGCCTAACTTGGGCATGACTAAGCACTTTTCAACAGGATCCCAAGTCTGGAGCATATTGTCCAGTCTGGTCCCAAGTGAAGACTATGAGAAAATGGTGCTCCTTCAATGGTCCGCTCATCTCCAGGATTTCTTTTCCACCTTGGGTTGTTCCATGAGCAGAAGAGGTCACTCAAAATTCTAAACCTCCCAAGTGTTTAGTCCAAATTTAGGAACATCATTTGTATGTTCATCAGACTCCCCATCAACCTCAAGGAAGGAGGGTACAAGCATATCATGAAAATCAAAATAACAAGAACCAGAGGAGCTGCCACAAACTGGTTTTGCTTACCTGATTCACAGTCGCTCCGACAGAGCCCTGCAGCACCATCTGAAGCATCTTGGCATCAGGGGGCTCTTGGTGAATGGCAACCGCTAACTGCAGGGTCTTCTTCTTCATATCTTCAATGGCAACTTCGATTGGTGTCAAAACAAACTGAATATAAAACAAAAATGTAGGAGAGTCATTGTCTAGTTTATTAAGCCATGGAAACCTGGAGCTATGACACAGAGCATACTTGGATTTGAAGAAGCAGCTAAGAAGGCTTTCAGAATAATTTAAGATAATCTGCACAGCTTAAGAAGAAGGAAGGGCCTCCTAACATTTTTGAGTACTTATTGCATTCTGGGAACTGTGCAAACATTTATCATTTACTCCTTTAAAGAACCTCCTTACTTTCTACATTTTTATAGTCAAAGAGGGATTTGTAAGGTGAAGAAAATGCCATGGAATGACACAGGTATTAAGTGAGGAGGCCAGAACTTGATAACAATGATGTCTACATTCAAAACCCATGTTCTTTCTACACTGTTAGATTTCTTTTTATGTTATTAAACAAGTCACTCAACTTATAATTGGGAAAACTATTATAAGTAGAGCATTCAAGATTTTATTTCCCACAATAACACAAGATTTTGGTATTACGTGTGCCTCCTCCAGTTACTCTGAAGGTGAATTCCTATTAAATAGAATTCTCTTAAGGGTCAATCTGCTGGTTGCTAAAATCTGGTGGCTTGGGATATGGCCCTTCCTGAATGTTATGAGTGGACTTGTGTCCCCCTAAATTCATAGGTCCTAAGCCACAGTACTTCACAATGTGGTCTTATTTAAGATAGGGTCTTTATAGAGGTAACCGAGTTAAAAGGAGGTCATTAAGATGGGCTCCAATCCAGTATGGCCTGTGTCCCTATAAGAAGAGGGAAATTTGGACACAGAGACATGTGAAGAAACATAGGGAGAAGGTGGCCATCTACAAGCCAAGGAGAGAGGCCTGCACCAGATCCGTCCCTCACAACTCTCAGGAGGAACCAACCCTGCCAACAATTGGAATTTTGACTTCTGGCCTCCAGAACTAAGAAACAGTAAATTTCTGCTGTTTAAGCCACCCAGTCTCTGACACTTTGTTAAAAAAGCTCTAACAGACAATAAACAGCCCAACAGGTTCTTAGAGAACAGGTGGCCAAGGAAAATTGTAAAGGTTTTTATTGGGACCATGAGTTTATTTTTGTGCTACGCCTAATGTCCTAGTGTCCGAAAGTTCAAAACAGCAAGAAACACAGCAGATGCCTCCTAAACTACCCTCCTCTTACCTGAGTCACTATTTCATGTTTTCTCTGTCCTTGTGAAACCCACTGTCTGCTGTGCTTGCTGAATACTTGAGCTAGTGGGCTACTTTCCTGTGAGCTCAGTCCCTTCTGCTCCTGACCAATGAGGTGCACATTCACCACAATTCATCTGTGTTTGTTCACCAACTTGATTAGGCCTGTTATACTTGTTATTTGAATGACCTAATCTAATAATGCACAAACCATGGGTGTGGAAAGAAAAAGAGTTGTTTCTATGAAAACTAAGCTCAATGCTTGGCCAAGACATTATGAAAATTACTGTTATAAATATTCCTGTCCTATTAGGTGTGCACAAGGTATAAGAGGCTAGGGGTAAAAATGTCATAAAAATCCAGAAGGATTCTGCTCTCATACTGTTTAGCAAGTGCATTATGGGTAGGATTTACATAAGAAAGACAATGCTGAATTGTGATCAACCAACCCCCAAAAAATAGAGAAGGCTTGGCCTTATATAATGTGAATGACAAATGAATGTGCATGGATGTGTTTTAAAGTAAGAGAAAATGTTTAATTTTGAATGATCTGTGACTTTAGATACTTTCTTGACCAGTCTCATGGATTAGTAGTCTTCTGTACCTAGAACCCGGGAAGAGCAAGGGCTCCTTCTGGCCAATGTATAGATGAGGATGCTGAATGAAGACAGGTGGCCTATGCAGTGTCACAGGACGAGCTGGGATGGGAAGTCACTCAGTCTCCTTACTCCTTATCTGCATTGCATGCCCCACCCCCAGCTTCTCCACGCGCTCACTGGGGCTGCTGCCTTCCTGTTTCTGCCTCTAATGATTAACAACCAACCGTGGCTAAATCACCTGTAAGTTTTTACATATATAAAAACTTAACATAAAATGTTTGCAATTTAAATTTATACATTTCATATAAATTTACCCTTAAAACACATATTAAAATTATAATTATGTAAACATGTTTATATTAAAGGTATAACTTCAAAATATAAAGTCTTTAAATATAAAGTAGAACTATGAAACATGTAGTTGCCTATACGGGATTCCCTGGCACCACAAGAATGAGAGAATAACCACAAAAATAGTATTTCATGGGGGTCCCTTTTCAGATTCCACTCCAGTCTGTGATGAAGGAGGTTTGTGTTGTCATTCTGGGATGCTACGCAGGCCCACTCATTCAGTGGCAGCCTCGGTCCCCAGCCTGGCCCCAGCGGGTGCCATTACCTCCTCCTTCTGGATGACGGAGATGCGGGTCTTGATGTAGGGAAAGGCGTGCATGGTGGTCAGGACGGTGTTCCGCCGGTACTGCTCATGCAGCTCTCCACGAGGCCGCCCCTCCAGGGTAAAGGGGGTGGTGTACATGAACCTCCGCAGATTGAAATTCTTCTCAAAGTAGGTTACCCTGTCTTTCATCTCATACTCATCAAAGTAAGGCTCCACAAAAGTGATCTGTATGTAAGCCTGAGGGGGAAAAGGCAAGGGAAGAAGGAGATGAGCTATTCGCAAATAACCACCCAGGACGTACTGGAGGGGCATGCTGGAACCAGCGCGGCAGCACCACCCCTCTGAGTTCACTAAAGCCACAGAAGCTGAGCGCACCAGGCAAGGCAAGACTCCAGCAATCAGCCAGGCCTCCTCTCCAGCCCCGGGGAGAGAGAGGCCTGCGAGAAGGAGAGGCCAGTGTGTCTCTGTGAAGCTGAGTCCACAAGCCACTCCTCCTAGCTGATCCAACTGAAACTTGGTATGAAAGTTTGCAAACTGCTGTTCAGAAGAGACAAATTCTCCTTTACAGGACAACCATGACCACGGCACACTTGGTAGAATAGCCAAACTAAATGAAACTGACAACACCTTGTGCTGAGAAGGATGGGGAGCAGCTGGAACTTTCACACACTGATGGCGGGAATGCAAAATGGTACAGTCACTTTATGAAACAGTGAAATTACACTGACCCCCTGACCCAGCAATCCCACTCCAGTGTGCCTCCCCAAGAGAAGTGAAAATGTATGTTCAAGTAAAAACTTGTACACAAATGTCTACAGCAGCCTTATTCATAATAGACAAAAACTAGAAACAATCCAAATGTCCCTCCAGTGGAGAATGGAAAAACAAATGGTGGCACATCCATATAACAGAATACTACTCAGCAATAAAAAGGAACAAACTACTACAACATTTTTGAATCTGCATTGTGCTGAGTGAAAGAAACCAGACTCCACAGGCTGTATGATTCCATTTATTTACTCTAGGATTCCATTTACATCATGTCTGGAAAGGGTCAAACTGCAGAGACAGAATGAGGACCAGTGACTCTCAGGGGCCGAAGGCAAAGGGAGGAAATGGCTACAAAGGGGCAGGGGAATATTTTGGGGTGATGCAGCTCTTATATAGCTCGATTATGGTGGTGGTTACATGTGTTCGTCAAAACTCATAGAACACCAAAAGAGTGAATTTTACTGCATGTACCTCATTTCAAAATGCGCACACACTGTGAATAAAGGCATTCACTTAGGCCTCTTTAAAAAAATAAAAAGAATGACAATGACCATAGACTCTGCAACGCCCACTCACTGAAATGGACGGGCGAGGTCACTGATCTCAGGCTGTAAATCACTAATGAGTGTGATGAAATCTGGTTATAATTCTGGGTTCAGATTCTTATTTAACACTCTCACAACCCACTTCGGGCATTTGAGAAGAGGGAAGAAGAGCGCCTTGTGTCAGGGCTGTCACGGATGACACGATGGAGTGTGTGCTGCACACAGATCATTGTGGGCACACAGCCGGCTCCCACTTTCAAAGACCTCCAACATTTCTGTCTGAAGCTTAGCTCAGGTCTTAGGCCGGTTATTGCTTCAACCCTAACCAGGGAATGTGTCTAAAATGAACAAGTCTTCTGAAATATGCAGAAAACAAACTATTAAATTAGGCCAATTCCTCCCTGCATGCATCATCGTCTTAATTTCCTAGAGGACAGAACTGAGAGAAGAGTTTGGACTCTTCATTTCATAGGCCTGCCAGATGGCAATTGCTACTCTGTCCCCCAGCCCTTAGTAAGTCCTTGAACTTGCATTATTTCCAGCAGCTTAGAAAGCTTTCTCATGAACACATCTGTCTGCAGGCTGAGCATGCAGCCATCACTCTTTGGTATAATACAGAATGTTTCTAATCTTTGTCTGTGTTTCCTGGGACAGAGCTTCAAAAACCCTTAGAATTTTCTGACTGATAGGAGTGTTTTGTTAATTTAATGAGGTGATTCTTGTATGGTGGGTCCCTAAATAGCTTTAGGATTGGGGCTGGTCACCCAAAAGACCATGCGATTAGAGGGTTGGGGGTGGGGAGGCTGCAGGCTGAATTTGATTATGTGGTTGGTCTCATCAATCAGACCCACATGGATTGGTTAAATCTGGACCCCAAGGCTCAGTGGAGCTTCCTGGCTGGTGAACATGTTGACCTGCCAGGAGGGTGACACGCCTGGATTCCACAGGAGAGGGCTGAGAAGCTCGGGGCTCCTTCTCAGACTTGCCCTGTGTACCCTTTACCATAAAACTGTAATTATCAGTATAGCGCTTTTCTGAGTTCTGCATCATTCTAGTGAATTATGAATTATCTAATATGAGGGGTGAAGTGGGAATCTCCAAATTTGTAGCCATCTGGTCAGAAATGCAGGTCGCCAAGGGCCCTACTTGAGACTGGTGTCTGCAGTGAGAGCAGACCAGTGGGGGACTGAGCCTGTAACTGGCCGCGTGTGATGCTACCGCGGGGCAGGGGTGAGACGGGACACGCCCTCGCGTGAGAAGTGAGGAAACTGAACTCTAAGCTCTTTGCATCATTCCCCAACAGCACAGTGACCCTGTACTTACCTGGAAGGGACCCCTGCAGCCTAAAAAAGCTGTCAGTGAAAAGGCTGCATCTTTTAAACATGTCTTACACTGAGAGTTTAAAGTTTTTACAGAAAGGCAGTAAGGAACCGTGAGTAGAGTGTGGTTTTGAGAATGGCAGGCCCTGGGTCCGAGTACTGGCTTCGGCCCGTGAATGGTCGCGGCAAGCCGCGTCTCCGTCTCCATTCCACACCTCAGTTCGCTCGTCTATAACACAGGAATAACACCGCCTACTTCAAAGGGCCATTGGACAATGAAATGATGGATGCAGGGCCTAATCCAGTTCTAGGTACACAGCTGGTGTTTAATAAATAGTAGCTTATTATGATTCCTACCATGAGTATTTTTTTTTTTTAAATCCTCACCCGAGGGCATGCTCAGAGAGGGGAAAAAGAGAGGGAGAGAGAGCGAGCAAGAAACACCAATGGGAGAGAGAAGCCCTGATTGGTTGCCTCTCATACACGGCCCAACTGTGGACCCAACCCGCAGTCTAGGCATGTACCCTCACCAGGAATCAAACCTGAGACCTTTCGGTTTCTGGGGCTGCACTCCAACTGAGTCACACCAGTCAGTGTGGTGTTTTAAAAGAATTAACCAAATAGTAGTTGAACCCTTGACAGAAAAATGTGGCTGCATTGAAATGACTTGGAGAGTCCCATGGAGGAGGTCATTTTATTTTCTTGGGGTAGAACAAAAGAAATCAGAGCCTGGTGGTTATTTTTGGCAAGTTTCCCCATACCTTGTTAGGATCCAACTTGGTTTTGTCCACAGGAGCAGAGTCTTTTATTACTTCCACAAATTCTGCACCAAAACATTGACTATAAAATCCCTAGGCAAAAGAAACCAAGATATTATTAAGGCTATTTTAATGTAACATAACTCCTTTATCTCTCAGAAGTGCAATAAGGTTGGAACAAGTATAAGGGAGAATTTGCTCATTGATTACTGAAAGTCCCTCTCATCTAATGGGGCAAATCCAGCATTTCCTGAGGCAAAAGTAAAAATATAAAGAAGTCCAGAACTGCAAACTGATACATGCTTCCTATAGTACGTACACTTTACCTCTAGTTCAACCAGCATCATCATAATTCCTGAAGCAGCTCCAGGCATATGGCACTATTTACTTTCTTGTTGTACCCTAGGGACTCGGAGGTCACTAGGCTTTCCATCATGTGACAAAGCACAGTGCAAAAGACAAAATATGTACTTCCAGTCCTAAGTTGGGAAAACATATTAAGAACCCAAGTGTTCCTGGGGTCAATTGCTAGTTCCTCTCATGAGCTCAATGACTTTGGGCAAGTCACCCAACCACTCAAAACCATTGCTTCTTTGGGTAAAGTAAGGATTAAAATCCTTTGTTTTATTTGGCATGAAAGATAGTATGAGAAGAAATTGGGCAACAAAAGTGTTTTAAATTTTATAGCCAGTATGGCATAAATTCAAAGCAATAGCAAGAAAGTGCAAGGAGTGAGTCTCTGGTTAATTGTTGTCAGTAGTTCAGGGGACACCAATTATTCACCCTGAGAGGGTTTTGTTTTGGGGCCACACCTTGACTTTCTTCCTAAGTTCTAAGTACTTGGCTCTTTAAATGCCTGCTTCCTTTCCCCTCACTTTTCTTCATCCTGTTTCCCTTTTTCTTCAGCCTTTCCTCCAGGAACATGCTGCTCCCTTCTACCACCTTAGAGATCATTTGTAAACAGCAGGTTGAACTGGGGGCTGCCAGCCCATGGATTGGGGTAGTGACTCTTAGTATCCAAAATGGGGTTCTCCCTGGATCAGCAGGAAGAGTTTGCTGTGCCACAGCCTGTGGTGTGGCTACTGGGAGCATCTCTATGTTAGAAGTGGGATGTGTTACCCGGTGACACCAAAAAGATGGCCACAGCATTTTCTACAGTAATTTGGCCACACTACTTTAAAGTCAAGGTAATCTTCAACCTGAAAAACTATTACTAAAATTTGGAAAGGGTTAAAAGAAAGCACATGATCTTGATTGAATTTTTGAATAGTCTTGAAAATATTCACCTTATAAATTTACAAGCTTTGACAAGCATACATACAATCTTAGAAAACTATCCAAATCTTGCTTTACCTCAAGATCTCACCTAATATGTTCATATTCTATATGCAGTGTGGAAAAACTTATATATAAATCAAAGATGAATCCATGACCCTTTGTTATTTTCTGTAATGACCAACTCTAACTTTTTTTTTTTTTTTTTTTTGGTAAAGTACACAATGTTAAGCACACAGAGTCACTTTTCTTACCTCTAGTCTATGAGAGATCTCAGGTAGCTTGGTAATTGCAGGCTCTTTGTAAACAAATTCTTGTTCATCCAAATCCCCAAATTTGGATCCATAGAAACCAACTCGGAAGTAGGTTCCAAACATTCTCTTATGACCCTAATGAGCAAAATAAGAAAACCTCTCCTTAGTTACCTAATTTATAAGGATCCATTGTATTACAAAGGACAGGAGTCTTATTGTTGTGTTAAAAAGTATTTTATCCCTATGGAAAATATAAACAGAAATCACTCCTTAAAAAATTTAATGTTTATGGAATGAATTTTGGAAATAATAACAAAAGAAATCCCAGGAAAAAATTTCTAGGACCTCTTTTAAGTGAATGTAAAAGATTCTCACATTTCCTGCTTGTAAAGTAATTCAACCTGCCTCCATTCAAACTCTGAATTGGGGTCAGTCCTCCTGTCTATTCCCAGCCCTTTCTGTTTGGTAGGTGAGAGCCAAAGTAGTGATGTGCTCAAGGCAAATCATTCCCTAGAGAGGATGGGGGGCTAAGCATCTCTGGGACAGGGTCACCTGCTGCCAGGTAACAGTGTTGGCCAGGATCCCCAGCTACCTTGCTAATGATGCTGTCAAAGGCCTTCTGCAGCTTGTCGTGAGTGGAGGTCAGCTTCCGAAAGTCTCGATGTGCTTCTAGGATGGGGATGACCAGCTTGTAGACCTCATTAACTGTCTCATACAATCCACCCTTGGAAAGAGAAGAAAATCAAAGAGAATTTAATCCTTGGAAACCTAAGTAGGGCAACCAGAGTTCATTAGGCACCGGAAACTAGGATTATATTTAAACCACAATTTTCCAGAACTGGAGTGACATCTGAGCACCTTTGGGGTGGTTGTAGCACTCAAACTGAGCATGCTCAATGGTTCTGTATAATGACAGTAAGCAGGGAAAAGAGTTTTCACAGATAACAAAACAGGACAAGAGACGGGAAGAAGAGCAGTGTAGAAGGGCAGATTTAGCATGTTTAAATGTAATCAGTGGCCCTATGACCAGATGTTCAATATATGCCTGAAAGGAGTTAGTAGGGTTCTAATAGTTTGTTTTCTTAAATTTCAGGAAAAATACCAGTAGGAATATTGTGGACTTTTTCTGAATCCTGATAAGGAAACCAGGAAAAAAGAAGCAAGGAGATAGTTGAAACAATAATTAAAATACATAGAGATTGATAGGTTGGAAACTTGGAATTGAAAAGTAGGAAAGAAAGGAAAATATAAGAATGAAAACAAAATTGGATCATCTAAATACAGTGAAGTATTAAATATTTATTTGGCTTAAAAGTTGAAGAAGAGGAATATTATTAAAATGAAACTAGACAAGAGACTTTTTCCCTTTCCCTGAATCTCAAGGATTTACTCCAGTGATTTTCAAACAGTTTGTCATTGCAGGTGTGCTGCAAAAATTTTTAAAAAATGCAATACTTGACTATTTAGTCAGGGGCAGAGATCTCTTTTTCCCTTAGACTGTCAAATAAAGAATGACAGCAACCAACACAACAATAGCCATATGGTGTGAACGAATAAAAATTATACCTATTTTTTTTGTCAGATTGGCAAAAAATAGGATGTATTTTTGTTGTACCACAAAATTTTAGTCATTAGTTGTGTGTGCCATGAGATGAAAAAGGTTGAAAAGTGCTGATTTAATCTGTATGTATTTTCTCTTATTCGGAGTGTTTAGACCCAGTCGGGGTTAAGGAGGGGAGTCCCAGCGGTTTCTGCTCCCGCCTTTCTGGGAGCTGGGCCTGGCCTGTGGCGATCCTGAGGATGAGTCAGTCGGTAGGAAGAAAGACACCGCCCATTTATTCCTTCCCTCTCCTCCTAGTAGCACCACTTTAATATTTTCCTCTATGAGAGGGAAGATGAGGCAGTGGAAACATGCCTCATCATTTATTGTGTAACCCTGGGCAAGCCATTTCACCTCTCTGTGGCTTCGTTTCCACCCCTATTAAAAGGAAATACTCCTGGGAAACTGCTGCCCAGCCAATGAGCATGCAGGGAAAACCAGACTGTTGCAGTGATGAAAGGTTTTCTCACCTGCCTCCACAGCTAATGCAATTGTATCCATCAAAGTCCTCCTGGTTGTCCCCTGCCCTGCACACTCCTGCAGGTGTTGTCATGAAGTGGGACTGGCTTGGCCATGAAGGCCACATTCACAGCACCAGGAGTTCAGCCCAAGCATGGAGGCCGGGCTCTGGGACCTGTGGGGGGCACTCACCGTGCTGAACAGCTCAGCTGCCTGCTCCAGGAGGCCCACCAGGCCGCTCTCGGTGAAGTACCTGCCGGAGCACACGCCATCCTCGTCAGGCGACAGGGTGTCTTCAGAGACGGCAGATTCCTCCAGCACATTGGAAGAAATATTCTGAAATAGGTCACAGTACAAGTTCAGAACAGAACAGGGGAACCAGACTCACAAAAGGCACCACAGAAACCCAAACTGTAGGAACGAGAGCCGCACGCAAAGATCTGCAGCAAGCCTGACGCCAGACAGGCCTGTGGTCCCCCAGGGAGAGCCTCTGGCTGCTGTTCGTTCTGAAAGGACATAGGAGCAACTGGTCTTCGAGACCCACAGTTTTCTTTGTTTAATAGCCATTAGGAGATATATAAAGAATTTTACCTCAATGTAAAAATAGTTGAGTTAGTTTAGTGAAACAACCTTAAGGAACATCCAGCTGGGGTCATGGCTTTTAAAAAGCAAAGGCTAAATAATAGTTGACTTGACTCCTTGTTTCATTGGCTGAGTGAACCTCTTACTTTTCAGGGTGTTTTTCTGAAGGATGTTGCTGCTACTGACTTGACATTTAGATGAATAGCCATAATATTATATGCCGGTAGCCAATTGGAATGTCTTCTCTATGGGAATTTCAATGGGAAGATGGTAGCTGTTATTCTCTCCTCACCCCCAAACATTTTGTTACTTCCTACCTACTTTTCCTTTACATAAACTGTGGAGTTTAAAGTCTCTAGCAGAGAACACAGCGACCAAGGCCAGGGCTAGGGTGAACCGCCAAGAAACCCAGGGCAGCGTGGACTCTCAGGGCTGCATAAGCGCTGACCATGAAGTTGCTTGACCTTGAAAATGCTTTCTTAAATTCTATGCCTTATGAGCCTAACTTGCCTCAACCCAGCTCTGGCCCTGGCAGTGACTCTCATATTCTTGACAGGGCAAGCGTCATTTTCGTCAACTTGTCTCACAGCTGTGGAAGAAATGTATATGGAGCACAGAAGAAATGTGAAATCTTTCTAGCTTAAGAAAATGCGAACAGCACACATACCACTCTTTCCTATTCCTGCACTCATGACAGGCATAACTAATCAATTATAGCACTCTTTCCCCTGAGGCTTAGATACAGCCTCAAAAGTCTTCTCAGCATAGTAATCTCGTCAGCCACTATCAATGGACCAGTGTTGGCTTTTAAAGTAAAAACCTGTCTGCCTCCTGGTTTGGCTAGCAGGATCAAGTTGCAATCGAGGAAAAGACAGTTGTTACGGTCCTATTTCTTCACACCCAATATTATAATGTAGTTTTAGGAATATAGGAGGCTCTCAGAATCTTTTGTGGCCAATCTTTCTTCCAAACGTGGTCTCTCTAATAGTGATGTTTCTGAACTGGAGGTAACAGAAAGTCCAAAGATTCATTTGGAAGAATCTAACCCAAAAAACAAATACTAGTAGAACTGTACGCAATTTTCCACATGCAGAGGAACAGATTTGAGATTAAGTAGTTTCATGAGCCGTAGTTATAGGAAAAAGATTCTGGGCAGACTTTCCTGGCTTCAGAATTAGGAGATAAAAGTAACAGCAGTATCTGAGAATGTATTCATTATCTGCATTGGTGGAGTAAATATTGTACTCTGGGGCAGAGAATTTCAGTGATCTCAGTTCCTTGGAATTCAGTGGCCTCGAAGTTATTTTCTTTTCACAGATTTATTATCTCCAGTTTATAATTCTTTCCAAAAAATTCAATTTTATTGGAACAGAACAAGGTTGAAAACTAAAGCACAAAGCATTTAAGAACTCAACATTGAACATCTGTTATTAATGCTGCCAGAATTCTTTCATCCTTCTGTAAAGTAAAGCCTCCTGGGGAACCATCCATAACTCCAGGTGTGGACCTCAACTCTGGCCCAGGCAATCCTGTTTCTCATTTCATTTCTCTGGCCATTATGATTGGTTCAGGCATGAGCACATGATCCCAGCACAACCAATGAGATGCACTGAGACTGTTTCAGCAAGTGCCAGGAAAAAATGAGGCACCTGTCTATTCTCCTATACTTGAGCCTGGGGAGATGTAAGCCTAAATATTTCTCAGTGAGTGTGGGAAACCTGTGAAGAATGAGGTTAACATAACAGAAAGCAAAGACAGGAACTGGTGTTGACACAGGTCTGATGACATTGTTTGGGTCCTTAGGTCCAGTTTGGTAGATGCTACTCCAGGCTCACCACCCTCATGCAAGCTGATAGATTCCATTTTTACCTTCAGTCACTCTGGGTTTGGTGCTTTGTCCCTTGCAAGCATAAATTGCCAAATGGATTTGGTATGTCTCATTTGAGAGAAAAGAGATTTAGCTCCTAAGCAACAACATAATTTGGCTTCTCTTCTGTAGTTAAGAGCACCTAACTCATCATGCTCTGTGTATCATGAAGACTTCACACTTTACAGTTCCTTCTGCCTTCCCTGTCACCTTCCTTGTCCTTCTGAGCTGCCCTTGACCTCCAGGCTGGGTCACATTATAAACACTCACAGCATCTTTATTATAGCCTTTATCATAATTACAACTGAATAAGGGATGAAATAGTTAAATGATGTCACTTTCCCTGGCTAGAATGTAAAGTTCATGAGGACAGAAAAGGTGCTTAATAAATATCATCTAAAAGAATGAATGAATGGATAAAGAAGAAAAAGTAGAGCTATATGCACCCCCATGTAAGGACAATGTGGAGTTTTCTGTAGGTTCTAGAATAACTATTCTATCTCACCTTGGCATGACTCAGTATAAGCAAATCAACCAAATTCTAGGTGAAATTAGAATTGTAAATTTTAATAATTATTAAAGTGATAGATATGAAATAAAATAGAATAATTGGGAAAAAGCATAAAAGAATAATAATAGTTCAGTTAATGAAACGAGAAAATAGGACAATACAATTCAAAGCTAAGTGATAAACCTAAAGATTTTTCTGGGTATTGGAAGACTAGCACTTAAAACATTTACCCTTGATAATAACAAATGGTCAAAATAAACATGACAAAAGAAGCACATACAAAACCGATGGGATATTTTTATGCTTTTTGAATGAGAATTTAATTTTTGGCTTTTGTAACAAATATTTCTGCTCTGAGAATAAACTTTATTTGCTGAGAATAAAAAAATAAAAATTTTTGTTATTGAAAATCATAAGAAAAGAGGAGTTAACAATATGAGGCATTCCCAGCATGGCAGGTGAACAGTATTCTGGGAAATCAGAAGCTCCTGGCTCTACCAGCATCAGATTCAGTGATTTACTTTCTAAGCCTGTGAAAGCTACTTTCAGTTGCCCTCTCTCTGCTTCACACAGCATCACAAAATTGCTTTGAAGACCAATAATGAGAATAAAGCCTTTTATAAAACCAGTCATGCAAATTCAAATGAGAATAATAAAAACACTTGTAAATGACTTTGTGAGTATGGCTTGAAAGGGGCTCAATTACCGTACTTACTATCTCGTTCATGGTTTTAGGGTTGGTCATTCTTACAGATTATGTCTCATAACACTTTTCCCCCTGTAAATACTGTATTAAACTATTTAGTAAAAACAGTCCTAGTGGCTACTTAGCATTATAGACTGAACCAATTTTCAGACCTGGCAAACAAACTCCCTTTGCTAACTATGGGAAATATTCAGCTTATCATAAAAAAAGTATCAATTCAGCCCCCTTTTCCCTTTCTCAAATCAGTTTGGTTCTCCCTTGATTTTTGGATTAGGGAATGGGATACTGCAGAGTTGGGGATTGTAATCCAAGGAATGGTCCATGAGGAAGATCATTTTTCCAATGTTTGGAAAATACTCTCATGGTTAACAAGCCTTTGAGAAAGAGTTTAAATAGCCTTAGAAAAATTGCTCTGTTTCTTTACCTGTGAAGTGGGAGTAATAATAACTTCCCTACCTGCCTGTTTCACTGGTGGGTGGGGAGGTCAAATGAAATCATGGATGTGAAATGTTTGGGAATGTCCAAAGTGCCTATCAACTCTACATTTATTGTAATCAATAATTTAAAAAACAAACCAAGATGATACAGCAATGAGAAGAGGCAAATATAAAACACTAAAGCAGGTTTTCAACCTTGGCACTATTGATGTTTGGGGCCAGATAATTCTTTGAGGTGGAGCTGTCCTAAGCATTGCAATTAGAATGTTTAGCAGCATCCCTAGCTTGTACCTATAAGATGCCAGTAGCAGCTACCCTCCCATCCTCAGTGGTAACACCCAAAAATGTTTCCAGACTTTGTCAAATGCCTTCTAGACTGCGGGGCAAAACTGTCCCCAGTTGAGAACCACTGCTCTAAAGGAAAATTGGAATTTGTCCCCCACCTGGAAGCTGACACTGCCCACGGGCAGGTAGCTATGATCCTCCAGCATGCTCAGGTATTCAGCCACTAAGGCAGCTGCGTGCACCAGGCACATGGCAGCCTCCGTGTAGCACTTCTTCTTGGTGTGTTTCTCTGCCATGTTCTGGAGCCAGGTCAGCCTCAGATCCGGAGATGTCTGGTAACTCTTGGCAATTCTGAGGACAGAGTGAGAGAGTTTGAAGGACAACTGGTTAATGACACTGCTTTTCTACTGTGTGTGACCATTTTGCTTTTCTTAGAATTTTTTCCCCAAGAGTGTTGCCTACACATTCAGAATACAAGAGAAAAGGCCAGCACTTATGAGTCCAGCTGTTTTCATTCCATGTGTAAGGTGTCCTGGACTATAAGAAATAACATTTAATTAAAGCTTTAGCGGGGGGGAGCAGGAAGACCTAATAAAATGACATCTATTTTATTTTATTTATTTTTAAAAAGATTTTATTTATTTGTTTTTTTAGAGAAAGGGTAAGGGAGGGAGAAAGAGGAGAGAAACAATAATGTGTGAGAGAAACATCGACTGGTTGCATCTTGCATGCCTCCAACTGGGGACCTGGCCTGCAACCCAGGCATGTGCCCCCAACCAGGAACTGGACAGGAGACTTTCTAGTTCACAGGCTGGTGCTCAATTCACTGAGCCACACAAGCCAGGGCAAATGACACCTATTTTAATGGATCTCTAGCATTTTTCTTCCTTTTCTTCCCTTTTTCTCAAAATAACAAGACATAAAAGTACTACCATTTTTATATCATATCAGAATAATTTGCTTCTGTAGTTTCTCCTGAAGAAGGGCTGCAAGGCAACATTTTAAACTATAGAGTAAAATATGATTTTTAAATAAAACTATACATGGATGTTTTAATAGAATAGTAAAAACATCATATAGGAAGTAACAGTCGATAGCACTTTTTTCTCACTCTATGGTAAGTAGAAGATAGCGTTATAAAATAGATATCTTACTTTAAATTAGGGAGACTTTCTAATAACTTGTACATGAATTAATTCACTCTGAATGATTAATTTCTACCAATTTCTATATACAGCTATGGCTGTCATCCAAAACAGTGTGTCCAAACAGCTGGTGATAATTACATTAATAAGAACTCCACAGTGACAAACCCTAGACCCACAAATGATCCCCCCTTGATTTTATCAGAGAAGCTTACCTGTACATGAGGTCCATAAGCATCTCAGGGTCTTCCTGAAACTCCCTCATTTTCACCGTGTCATATAAGATGCTATTCAGATTGCAGAGCAGCTCTTCTACCTGCAAAAAGGTGAGTGTACAACCCCCTGATAATCTTTACTTTGTATGTAGTCCAGGGCAATGAGTTAGGATCACACTGAAAGTGCAAGGGGCAGCCAGGAGCAGAGTCAAGGTTGCGCGTGGAAAGGAGTCTAGGCAGGATCCTTCATGTTTGCAGGTCCAGGTGCTTCTGAGGCCCAGATGTGAACTGGCCCTTAGCATCCAGGAATTAGCCCTGAATCCTTAATACTATTTTCCCTCTCGATTACCATTTAAAAAAAAAATTCTTCTGAACTAGTTCCAGTTATTTGCCACTTGAAAAGCCCTAAACTGTAATCTGGAACATCAGGGCTTTTTATACCAAGTAGGAGGCAGCTTAGGACTTCAGCTTAGGTTCCACATTATTTGTGTGTATGGGTGTGTAAGATAAAATAATGTATATGTGTATATAAGTATATAATATTTATATATATAACTATATTGTGGTATGTGAATATAGGCATGTGTACACACACACATAAACACACACACACACATTTATTATTGGTTAATCCCCAGCCCATACATGAGACAAGGTGTGCTTCTCAGTCTACCTGGCTGGGGAAAAGTGTCCTCTGCATGGCCTTGTCCTCTTCTGCATAGGCCAAAATCGTCCTCAAGGATTTTCTCAGGTGCTCCTCATTAAAGTCTGGTGCTTTCCCCACCAGAGATGCCAGAGACATGGTTACTTGCATCTTCACTCTTGCAAAGTTCTGCATTAGGAAAAAGAAAAGAAGGAACAAATAAGAGGCACTCAGCTAGTAGGTAACTGAAGGCAGTAGAGCCAGACACCAGTAACTCTCCAATGTTTCTTTCACACAGTTTCAATCATCTCCTTTTCTCTCAATGAAATGTGAGGCGTACTTTAAGACTCATATTGTTTAAATGGTTTAAAAGGATATTGCCCTGACATAAACCTGTCAGCTCCCTTTAAATTTTCACTGGGGCCTGGGCAGCCTCCATGCTGCCAAACGAGATGTTTCCTACAAAGTTGGGTCCCAGGATGTCTCCTTTTGTGCCAAGACTTTTCTGCTTGGAACTTTGATTAAATTGCAAAGAGGAACAGGATCTCCATGGCCAGGACTTCTGAGATTCTGGGCTCTGGGTAGGCAGTGACTTTCTGTTCCTCCTTTCCTTCCAGGCCCATGTAAAAATATGACTATTCTAAAAGTCCCTTTGAAATAGTTATGCCTAATACATTCTGAGAATGCTGCCTTTCTCCCATGGGCCAATTTATCTTTTAATATCACTTCGGCATGCTCATGAACATGGCCACAAATGTAAATTCTAAAGGAACATACCAATATCTAGACAAGCTACAGCAAAAGTTGGGTCTTTGCAATAAAACAACTCCAAAGGCTCCTAAGCTTCAATGAAAACTCAAGTATAGATGATAGTAATCATCTTCTACAGGTCATTATGGAACATGCTAATCAAAATTTATCAATAGGACAAACTCTTTGGAATTCTTAACCTGCCTGTTGCATTTTTTCTCTACAGATGATGACTTTTAATCTCCATATATTCATTCATTTTTTAAATTGAAACATGCATGTGTGAACCATTACATTCATCAGTCTTGATGTTTACTTTTGGATGCAAATTCAGACAAAGACTGCTATCCATCTCCATATTAGATGGTTTCTTTATGCAGGAAGAAGTAAATTGTAATCCTGCAAACTTTTCCTCAACCAATGCTTTGCGTTGACTTTCTCCATTGAATGTGGGTCACCCAGCTAGTCTGAGCTCTTACACTGGTGGCTCCAAAGCTGAATCTCATGAGGAGGTAGAGGGTGGCACAGGCTTGGCTCCGGGTGACGTCCATGCTGCTGCTGCAGTGGTGCAGCACACGCTGACACAGGTCCGCACACTGCTCCACCTCCTCCTCAAACAGCAAGTCGCCGAACTAGGAGAGACATAAGGGGCTATTAGGTATTGCTGGCACTTTCATATGCTTTCTGGATGCTTGTCTAAATATGCAAATGTCTGCTTGGACAAGCAAAAAGCCCAGAAGAATTAAAGCATTGCTCCATAAAGATAATGAGCTATGTGAGTCAGAAGATGGATTGGAGTAATGGAGTTGACTTAAGATTTAATTATGAACCGCACAACGAAGAATAGGGCTACATAATTAATTGCTTTGTTAGCCAGGCTGCATTCACTGGCAAAGTCATAACTCTGAGGGAATTATCCTGACTTACTGGATTCCTTAAAAACTATTGGTAACTAAGAGAAAATGATCCTGCTCAGGAAGAGCAGAATTTCATTTTCAAAAAGGAAAGATCCCATGTAGAAGGCACCAGCTGAGATTTGCAATACAGGGGGAGAATGTGAACGGCCTTAAACCGTTTTACTTAAGGAGTATCTATATTCAGGCTATGAAAAAGAGAAATTTATTTCTAAACTTTCTGTCATTTTATGACAAACATTTTTGTAAGACTTATTAATGGGTATCATGCATAGGACTTCAATCTCACTAGATAAAGTACTAAAGACAAAGAGTGAAAGGCAAAGTTGCTCAATGAACTTTTGCTCTGATGTCTCTGGTGAGCTGCCATTCCAAAGTTCTGTAGTTCAGCCCACATTTCAAGTGTGAGAGCCCTGCTTTTCCTTTCCATGGTGCATCTGCTTTCTTTTTTAGTGAGACTTAAGACCTTTACCGTGGCATCAACTGAGTGCTCTGTGGGGAGATGTATGAAGCTAGACTAGAACCTTAACTCTTAATTAAGAGTAAGAAAATAAGCAATGTGTGTTTACCTTGGCAATGAGAGCACGGAGTGTTGCAAAGCAGTGAGTCAGGTAGGTGGTGCTCTGATCACAGCTCAGAGAATTCACCAGGACCCTGAGAACACCTCCAAGCAGGCTGTCTTTACAGTCCAAAGCTGAGGTTGCCTGGGGAAACAGAAGAACAGCATCACTGAATCTCTGAGTCGTGCCAGTGGACTGAGGGGTGAAGGCACAAGTAGACACTTTTGACAATTAGCACAGGGATGCCGAAGTCCCATTTCTCTCAATCTGAGATCATAAGGGTTTCGTAAAGTACCACCCATATCCGTTACCATGAAAACTGAAGACCTATTTCCAAATGATTTTATTCCCAACCTCCCAATTGATTTGGGATTTATGCCTAATTCTGGGGTGTTAAGCTAAGTTACAAGGCACATCTCTCCCCATCCTGGGCAAAAGCTTTTGGAATGTTCTTTCTTTGTATACAAGGCACAGCTTTTCTTTGAGCTTCAAAACACAACTGTGGGCTTCCCAGTACAATAGGGGCTGCTTGGTGGCAATGATGTCTATAAATACGACCTTGTTTATTAGCTACGGTAAGATGTAAACCACCAAAGATAATGACACGTTTCAGTTTTCTTTGAAAATTGCAAAATACATGTTGAGGACTGGCATTAAGTACATACCACTCAAAGCTGTATTATATAAAGATATAATCAATGTGATACCAAGCATTTAAGTTATCAAAGATACCACATATTTTTAATCTTTGTTTTTATATAATGATTACCTTGATTTTAGACAACTTAAAAGTCAGATACCTAAAGTGCCACTGTGTTTCAAGAATTTTTCTTCTTCTAGCCTCCCAAAATGAATACTGGATCTACTCTAATGATTTCTCATTGGGAACATATAAAGGACTCATTTTTCAAATTAACTAAAATCAAAGATAGCCCAGATGTCTTGGTAATTTTGGGAAACATTCACTTAGAAGATGAAATTAACATGATGACTTATATTACTATTCCCAGTGATGCTAAACTTTTCTACAGCAGGGATAGCAAATTCATGGCACAAATGACTTTCCTTCACTAATGTGTGTCCAAAACAGACACATTCTTTTTTGCATCTAATCCAGTCATAATCGTAGTTCCTATACCAGGCATCAACCATAGCTCGACTGGAGTTGACCCCCCAAAAACAAACAAACAAGCAAACAAACAAAAATACCCTAGCTACCATCCTTTTTCTAGATACTGAATGAGAAGCCCACCATCACATTGTAAACTCGATACACTCAGGCAGATTTAATGACAAGGGTCCAGTTTATAGAGCATCTAACTCATTCCAAGTGAACAGCAAATCAAAAAAGTCTGAAGAATGTTCATTATCTCTGGAATTTGTAATTTGGACACTTGTAAACTGCCTAAATTCATTTCTTTTTAAAAAGGCATTTAGAGATCATGTTTATTTCTTCTGCGAGTTTCTCTAAAGAATTCTTTATTAAATTTCAGTAAATATACTCATGCTGAATAGATCAGGTGTTTATTTTCCTCACCTGGATAATGTTTTCCTGCATGTCCAGTATGATTAAATTTGCTTCTGTAGCTAGATTGCCACTGATCAAGGCTTCTTGATCTAACTCCGCCTTTGTCCTAAGAAATTAAAAAAGAGGTCAAATTAAAGCACATCTCAAACCTGGCAATATCCCAATGATAGCAGTCTATGCAACAAGTCATAAAGAAATCTTCTAAATAGCCAATCTTGGAGTGAATACAAAGCAAGCTGGCTAATGGTAACTAAGGAGTGCAGGGTGCTTTTTGGGATTAGTGTCAGGTTAAAAAAGATTTTCTAGGTAGAGTCTTGAAACCATTCTCATCCCCACTATTACAAATAATGATGACAATTACAGAAATAACAAGATGGACAGAAAGGCAATTATTGGTTGCTACAAGCAATTATGCTAGCCAATCATGCTGCTGTATAAAGCCTCAGGCCATTCCTACATTTCATACTTAACAACCATCTCCAGATCTGAGCCTCTGCAACTGGAGGGCGTGAGACTGAGTGTGATATGAATTTGGCAAACAACGATGCTGCTGGATTAGGAAAGAGTGATGCTTCAGAACTGGGCCGGGAACGAGTCAGTGTCTTGACTTCCCAGAGGCTGCCTTGGGATTGCACAGCCAAGTGTGGGGCTTTTGTCCTTTTCCAATGGGAAGTGAGATTGCATTCCTGTGGGGTGGACCATCCAATATCCTACTGGATGTTCATGACTGGTTATTACCCACGAGGGAATGGGAAATTGACTGGTGCTCCTTATCTACTAGGTTTAATTTTGAGGACTCTGAACATTTTAGGCACTAGTTCATCCATTCTTATAAAATCCAAGTGAAGCTCAGAAGGGATATCATCAAAATTTAGTTGCCAGGAAAGGGAAGTGTAAAGAATTGACTTTCCCAAGGTGCCCCAGTGGCCAAATTTTTAGCACAGGGGTTGGGGTGTCAGGATGTGAGCTCCAAAGTCTTGGACCCAATCACTAGCTGCTCTTGAGATCCCTTCACCGAACAGAGGGGGCAGTGCCGACGTTCATGCCATTGGGACCTCAGAATAAATATTTCCCTTAGTTTTAAATGTTTTCCCGTTTAGTATAGGCTCTTTGGTCCCAAGTTGCATTACATTTTTTTCTCATTCTCCAATTGATGATATTTGTAGAAAATAAGTAAAATATAAAAGCTAAAATAATTGTTATTAATTTACTGATAGGTTTAGATTTAGAGCAACACTATCCAACAGGAACAGAATGGGGACCACATATGTAATTTTCTAGTTTGTAGGAGCCACATTAAAATAAGCAAAAAGACTTAGGTGAAATTAATTGTGATGTATTTTATTTAACTCAATATCAAAAATATTGTCAATGTGTAACCACTACAAAAATTACTGGATGAGATAGTTTACATCCTTTGGTTTCTACTAAGTCTTCAAAATCTGGTGTGTACTTTTCCCTTATACTACTGCTGTGGCTACTATATCAGATGGTGCAGGTCTAGGGTATCTGAATTTGTTTTTTTTCCCCAAATTTTTTTATTATGGTAGAATACACATAACATAAAAATTTACCATATTAACCATTTTTAGGTGTATAGTTTGATTGTATTAAGTACATTCATATAGTTGTGCAACCATTACCACTGTTGATCTGGTTTTTAAAAAGCCTATGAATTATTCCTTTAAAATAGTGGTTTTCAAATTTGACTGCACAATAGAATCACCTGGGGAATTTCACCAAGTACTGATTGCTGGGTCCCACTGCCAGAGATTCTGAATTAAATGGCCTTGGGTACATTGGGCACTGGAAGTTATAAAAGCTCCCGGGTGGTTCTAACATACAGCCCAGGTTGAAAGTTACTGCTCGAAAAGGAACAGAGCCAAAATGACTGAAAAGTGACCAGAAAGAAAATGGTGCAAGGCACCACTATCATAATTACAAAAAGTTTTCCAAAAAAATTTTCTAAATCAAGCAGCTTTATTTTACTATGGTTTCTTTAAAAAAAGGAAGAAGGAAGGGAAAAGCAATATATATATAAAGGCACCAGCCTTGAAGATCTGCAGAGGTGAACCATTAGCTCTGACAGTGAGCAGTCCACCAGGTAGTTCAGGGCTGAGAACTGACCTACAGAGAAATGGAAGATCCTGCATGGAAAGGCTCAATATGGTGTAGTTTCTGCAAGCAACAGGGAAAGGTTTCCCAAAACATCAATTTACATTGTCCCAACAAAACACACCTTGTTAAGCTCGTCTTTTAATCTCACAGAGTAGATTTCCTAATCACCTGAGCAGTTCTGTATCACTACTGCATGCATGATTAAAATATTTTTTTAAAAGATTTTATTTATTTATTTTTGAGAGTGGAGAAGGGAATGAGAAAGAGAGGGAGAGAATTGTTGTTAGAAACATCGATGGGTTGCCTCTTGCATGCACCAGGGATCAAATCCACAAACCAGGCATGTGCCCTGATTGAGAATCTAACCAATGCCCAATCAACTGAGTCACACTGGTTAGAGGTAAAAAAAACTTGTTGTTGTTGTTGTTGTTGTTGTTCATTGCCTGATCTACAACTTATGGACTCTTAGAACCAAATATAAATCAGGTTAGGAGACGTAGAGCAAGAATAAAATACCCAAAGCAAATGGATGTCATTAATAAGACTGATAACTGGGCTTTCCAAGTAACATCTATAATAAAAATGTGTTTATCTCTTTAATGTTTTAAAATAAATTAGGTCGCCAAGAGTCTTATAAGTAGATCAGAATGATGCATTCTGTGGCAACGACAAAGATAGTAACTGATACTTATTTATAAAATAGCATTGATATGCAAGTCTGCCCCCCTCCACTCCCTTGCGATGGGTGCTTCACACACTCTGGGGATACTCTTCCTACGCCTTGCCAAGTGTGTGGTGAGAGGTACCTTTAGCTGTGCAATGCTTTGCTCAGTAAACCCTGGGATTCATTAGGCTACCTGCTGCTAAGGCGAATAGCAGACATGTGCTATATATTCAACATATTTAGTTTTATGCCCTCATATATCCAGATTATTGCATATATATATATATCGCCCATATATTTCAATCCAAGCAAGATTTGTCTTCTTTCATGTATTTATAATTTTTTCTGATAATATGCATAATAATACATCCATTGTAGGAAATATAGCAAAGCATAAAGGAAAAAAAAAGGTCAATTACTTAAAACAGAAAACCACCCAAAGAAAACCAATGTTAGCATTTTGGTAAATTCCCTTCTAGTATTTTAAAAATGTATTTCCTATATATAGTTAGAGATTTAAGATTCTACTCTAAAATCAAGCATCTATTCTGCTTTTCTTTACTTAACTACATCCTAAGCATTTCCTGTGTCATTAAAATGATTTCAAAACACTTTAATGCCAACCTAATATTTTCCTATATATTTCCCTATTCTTGAGCACTTAGAATGTTTCCGATTTTTAAAAATAATTTTATGTGACTCTGATACAAATATCTGTCAATAAATGTCTGTGCACAATTCTGGAGAGGAAATGTAAGCTGACATTACGTGATCTTGGGCACCCTGTGCTGTCCTCATTGGCAGCTTTGGTTAAGCTACCTGAGATTGTTAAATATTTGTTTTCTTTAAATGTTTATCAATATGATAAATGCTGAAGAGCTGGAAATCATAACTCATACCTTTGATTATACCAAGTCCCTGGATGAACTGAATTTACATAGATTATGATTTATTTTCTTACCCTTGGGAGGAAGTAGTAATACAAGTAGCCTGGGATAAATAGTTTGGAACTTTAGGTAAAAGTAGCAGAAAGTTGCTGAGTGACTCACTTATCTAGCTTCTCATTAGCTTGCCGCCAATGTGTCTGCTCCTTCTTCCATCTCAAGTTTTCACTTAGGCATGAGAATCGGTCATTCCCTAGGAGTTCAGAAATGCATGATAGGAATTTGATTAGCATGAAACACTCCAAGATAACCAGAAGTTCTGTAACAAAGTCAACTAAGAGGACTCAGCACCACTTCTCTGGCTAATTAGAATCCATGCTGGATGCTGGTAGGCAACAAAGCCCCTGTCCATGACTGCGCCGGCTTGCTCTTTGACTGATAAACTAGAGCTTGAGAAGAACGCCTGCCTTTCTGGGGTGTCGGTGAGCATGTTTCTCATGAACACAGGGTTCCAGTGAGACTCTGGAGGTTCTTACTGAGTTACTAAAAAGGACAAGGTGGCTGTCAAATGAAGATGCCCAGCCACCCCAAAAAAGCTGAGCTCCTTTCAAGTTCCCGACCTTTGTGTCCCACTGCATCGGATGAGCTGTCACTGTTTTACTTTAAGCACAGTAAATAAGACTGAGGGTACCTGAGCACTTCACTGTATTCTAGCCCAGTGAGCTTGGCCTCTCTGGGATCATTCCTGGTATAGGGGGGGTCTCTGGAGGACCAGAACACTCTGAGAGCACTGGGGAGGTTTGTTCCATTCTCATAGCGCCCTGACTGATTTAGGGAGATGGTCTTCCCCAAACACTGGATAGAACTGACCATGTTCCATGAAGACAAGTCAAATATCCTGTGGAGAGGCTTCGGCCCTGAGAGAGACATCATTTGTCGCATACTTTGACTCTCATTCTTGGATGTCATCTTTTACCATGGACAAGTTTTAAACAGAAGACACAACTGGGGACATTTCTGGGGTTCCTGTGACCTCAGGAAATCAGCCCTTCCTTAGAGGCACAGGGCCAACATTACACACGCCATGCACAGAATCCCAGAACCTGCTGGTCACTATTCCCATAACACCTTAAGACAGTGACAGTGTCTCCTCATGTTGGGAGGACATTCCTTCCCACAGAAGGTGCAGAACTCTCTGAGAGAAAGCAGAGAAGGGCAGCTCCAACGTACCTGGGACCCGGCGCCTCATCATCTCCCCTCTGGCCCCTTCGCCACGGAGCAAAGCCTCTTCCAGCCTGGCCTTGACATCCCTCGACTTCTGCAGGACTTGGGTGCTGACTTTGTCAGAACTTGGCTTTCCCTGCACAGGACAGAGGGAGAAGGACATTTAGTTTGGTGAAATCTATGTCCATGGGGAGAATCCTCAAAACAGTGCACTCCAAGGTGATATCGGCCACTTTGGACATGTGCTACACAGAGACACTGTTTTGGGGGATCCCATGGCTAAAATCCTGTTAATAAGAAGGGATTTCTCTCTGTAGAAGGCAGGGGTTTTTTCCCTGTGGAATCTACGTAGGTTATAGATATGCAAATAGGCTATGCATTTTAATGAAGAAATAAGAAAAATTACTGATGCCTCCATTGCCCGAAGAAGGGGGGCAGTGACAAGACAGGATGGAACTGGGGAGATGAGAGTGAGTCTAAAACTGAGCCATCCCACACCTACCTTGTACTCAAAGCACGAGACACAGATGAAAAGGAGATCTAAAATCCTGTTGAGCTGCATCGAGGGCAGGTCAGCGATCCACTTCCTAATGAGGCTCTGGTCTGCATTTTTCATGATCCAGAGGAAGCAAATCATGAGGTTTCGGGTCGTGTCGGCATTTAGCATGTTGCAATGCTTGTAGGGCTGGAAGCAGGCAGATGGGGAGATAAATGCAGGGGAAAAAGTTGAGCGGCAGAAACATTGAAAGTTTTAAGAGATGTTAATCTCTCAGAACACTGGAACTGTACTTCTAACTTGGCTGGGGTCTCCAGGCACTTGGCCTTTTCCCTGGTAGGGGAGGTCATGTTCTTTGAGCTGAGCTGCCCAGCCAAAGGGCTCACCTGGGGCAATATTTGAGCTAGGCTTTTAGCAACAGAACATTGGGCACTCTCTCTCAGGAGCACTGTGGTGTGGTGGTCCACCCTGGACCTTGACACCCCCCCGCAATCTCAGTGATGACAAGGAGCTCTCATGCTGCTAAGATCTTCAAATATTTCTCCTTTTCGTCTGGACAGGAGACCACTTAAAGTGGAGTCTTATAGCAGAGAGCCAGCCTGGCTAGGTTCCAGAAATACCCTAACTATAAGGCGACTTTAACCATAATTTACATTTTCCTGGGTGTGTGGGGATTCAAGCTATTTGCTTTAATACACTGGCCTGGAGAGTTCATTTTAGAGTGCTGGGCACACTCTCTGCTACTTATCATATCAACACAAAGAACAATATGTGGCTGCACCCTTGGTTCATATGATGTAGCTAATATCCAGTAGAACAGGGTAGTGAATTTGCAATGAGGTAATTGTGAGCATGTGAAGGAAATGTTGGTCTTGATAAGAATGATAGGGCTTATGATGCTACCTTAACTTCAGTTTTTCTGAGTATGGTGATAAGAAGATAGGAAATCTTTTGATATAACTTCACAGGGAACATCTTCCAATAGAAGCGGCTTAGGGCATTTGGCATTTGCCCTTAGATCAAATAGCATTGTCAAAGGCATACAGCACTTCAAGCAGCTAACTTTGCTACAACGGATATTAGAAATGTGGAGGAAGTCACAAAACACAATATTTTCCAAACTATAGGATGAGTGATGTCAACTCTCAAAAGTCTTTTTCTTACCTCCCAGCCCTCCAACTCTCATGGGGGATTCCTGGAGACGGAGGGGCGGGGGGTGACTGAATGATGGAGGAAAGAGAACAAGGTCATCTTGCAAAGACGAGTGAAGTTTAGATGCTGCCTTCCTAGGAGAGAACTGAGTTGAGTCCTCCGCAGATACACCCCACATTGGAATGCTCAGTTAAATTAGCTGGAGGATGCAGAGCTGACTTGACAAAGGAATGGTTGGAGATCATCAAGGAACACAGAGAGATCTCTGTTCCTCAAGTGAATCAGAGGTTTTATTACAGGAAGAGCCCCTCTTTAAACCCAAAGTCTGTGCATAAGGACAGAGACAAATAACTCTGCTTGTAGTCTCTGGGAACCTAGAGCAGCTGAAGTCCTTTGCTTAAGAAGTGCTCTATCAAGTAACCTTCAGGTTTTTTTTTTTTTTTTTTTTTTTGGAGGAAAACATAGTGTGAATAATAAAAACACAGAATAAACATGGGTTAAGCCTCCCACCTGAGGGAGCCTTACTTTGATCCTCTGCAATAATCTCAGATTTCCCAAGTTCACCTCTTCCCTGGTTTTCTGAGCCTTGAACTTGGCACTGCTGAGACTGTCTGAATTTGATCTGTGATTTCCTGCTGTGGCCAGCATCTTGGCTGACCGTGAGTAGCCTCATCTGCACCATTTCCCTGTATCGCTGCCAGCCTCATGGTGGCTCCTTCCAGGATCGAGCAGTAAAGCAGAAATCTCACTGCCTACTCTATGGTGGGTTCTGGTAGGTGAATATAAGAATGAGCCCATCAGAAGATGGGAAAAGGCACAAAATGAAAAATAAACTAGAGAAATGTGCAACATACCAAGGAAGACAGCATTGCTCCATTTGTCTTCAAATTAAAATGATTCCCAGCGATGGCCAGTGCCACATTCTGGTTAATTGCACTGATCCCTTCTTCTTCTTCATTCGAACTATTGGGGCGATTTTTCCCACCACGGGCATCTGCAGCTGCAATTCAATCATCATTGGTCTCATCAATGCAGTCGTGGTCCTTGCTCTTTACCCAAAGGAATTTAAAACTTATGATCACACAAACACCTGCATTCAGGTGTTTATAGCAGCTTCATTAGTAATTGCCAAAACTTTAAATCAACCAAGATGTTCTTTAGCAGGTGAGTGGATGAAAAAACTCTGGTACATCCATACAATGAAACACTATTAGTGCTAAAAAGAAATGAGCTAGCAAGCCATGAAAAGATATGGAAGAACCGTAAGTGCGTACTGCCATGTGAATGAAGCCATTCTGAAAGGCTACATACTATACAGTATCAGATTATATGGCATTCTGGGAAAGGCAAAACTATGGAGACAATAAAGGTTCAATGGCTGCCAGGGGTTAGGGGAAAGGGAGGGATGAATATGCAGAGCCCAGAGGAGTTTGGGGGCAGAGAAACTCTTTATGACACTACAGAATGTGCACCCTTAGAATGTGTACCGAGGGGGAACTCTAATGTAAACTATGCACTTTAGGTGATAACAGTTTGTCAGTGGAGTTTATCAATCGTAAGAAACCTACCATTCTGGTGGGGGTGCTGCTACTGGGGGAGGCCAGCCGTATGTGGGGGCAGGAGGTTCAGGTAGGGGCAACCTCTACACTTTCCCCTCAGTTTTGCTGTAAACTGAAAACTGATTTAAATATTTAAGTCTTATGGAAAAAAAATACAATAAAAAAATAAAAGCAGTGATTCTCAAAAACACCCAAAATTTAAATCTTAAAAAAAATCTTCGGTAATGCCCAGCCAAAGATGGTGATTTCCTATGTCCTCTACTCACTACCCAATGTGTAACGGCTCCTTATCAGTCCTAAAGCCAGCACAGTAAATTTAAATCTGATGTTTAGCATTATTTATCTGTTACTATATATAGGGAAAAGCAGGCTAATAGAGAAGACAAAATGTCTAGTACAAGACTGTGCTAGAAATTAATTTTTCAAGTTGTGAAGATAAAAATCTCAAAGCTTTCATAACTTTCCTAAAATATTTTAAAGCTTTATTCACATATTTTAAATAATAACCAAGTATAAAGGAGCCTATAATTATAGCATTAAACAAGTACCTCATTGAATAACAAGCTATGATCACAAATTAAGCAACACTTTATTAAATTTCAAGTGTTTGAAATGAATGTTAATTTATTATATCTATGTAATATAAATATATTTATACGTATACATAGGTCTAGATGTATGCAAACAAAAAGGTTCAAAAGGTGGGTTTTTAAGAACATTACCAATCACGCATAAAGTATTTAGAAAGTTTGTAGAAAACACTTGCAACTGATTGACCTATTAACAACTCATATTTTATTAGACCTGTCAACATTATCAATATTTGGACCTTCAATTTTTCAGAAAAAGTAGGATGTGAACAGTATTTTCATCTGCTAAAGTTCTGCAAACAGAACTCAGTTTTTCTTAAAGAACTCAATTTTTAAAAATAATAGTTCAGTGTTGTATTTTAAGGCAATTGGAGTTTTAAACAAATGGTAAAATGAATGGCACATAGAAATTATACAAGACCTGATAATATTATAGGGACATAGGATCATGGTTACAAGAAAAGGAAGGAAGTATCTAAACATGTGCTGCACGAAATGCTCTTATAGAAGTTCTCTTGCTTCATCTAAGATGTAGGCACCATTGTCACATCTTTTACTTCTGAGGAAAGGGAAGTCAATGAAAGGCTGAGGATCTCCTCAAGGGCCTCCTCAAAATTGTCTACACACACACACACACACACACACACACACTCACACACACACACACACTTTCTAAACTGTCCTTTAATGGGACTGATTTACATGATTTCTGAAAGTACTCTTATTAAGGGTGCACACACACACATATATGTACATATATATCATATATATATCTGCATGGAATAATTGTTTATGTTCATCTGAGAATGCTTCTTTGCTTAAGCATTCATAAAAGAAAACATAAGGAACACCTTTATTTTAAAGCATTGGAATAGTAATCTCCAAAGGGAGTGTTATTCTGTTTTTATCTCATTCTTTGTGGTACATGGTTTATAAAGTTCATTATATACCAGCGGACCAATGAATGAATGAATGAATGAACAAATGAACAAATAAATAATTTCTAACTAAAAAACATACACAGGGCTATGTGCCTTAAAAAAAAGTAGTGGAGCTGTAAAAAGGTTTGGAGAGCGCTGGTGTGCAGAACAGTTCACATAAGCCTATCAGCACTAGAGCTAATGACAGAAGCCTCATTCGAGTGGAGTATTTGACATGGTTTCCCAACAATCCAGAGAAGGAAACAGAAAGTATTGTTACCTGTAAAGTCATAGAGCTGTGGCAAGGCTTCCAAAATGATGCCGACCAAAGGCAGGTAAAGAGCAGCAATTTTGACCTTCACATCCGGTTTGACACAACGTGGGTCCAGGTCGTGAGAACTTAGCAGGCTGTGAATGGCACTGACAGCTTTTCTTTGCACTTTGCCGATCCTGTTGGCACAACACAGAATGCTAGAGGTCATGGAGGTTATGAGGGAGAGTAACCAAAATGGTCTTAAGCAATAAGGAGGGGCCAGAATGCTCCTAAACAATGGGGTGACAATGTGAAAATCAAGCAAAACTGGGTGGAGGTGTGTACAGCTCAGAGAGAGTCAGCCTGTGTTCTAGCCCCGGGTCTGCCGTTAGCATGATGTTTCAAAGTGCATCAGGTTGTAGCACCAAGTACTTCATTACATTTTATTGTTAAACAACATCGTATGAATATATGACATTTTATTTATCCATTCATCAATTGATAGATATTTGGACTGTTTTTGCCTTTTGACTATTAATGAATTATGAATACTGCTATGCATATTCATGTATAAGTTTTTATGTGGATATAAATTTTATTTCTCTTGGGTATATACTTCAGGGTAGAATTACTGGATCATACAGTAACTCTATGATTAACCTTTAGAGGGACTGCAAAGTGTTTTCAACAGTGGCTACACCATTTTACAGTCCTAGCAGGAGTGCATGAAGTTTCCATATCCTGTTTGTCAACACTTGTTACTGTAGGTCTTTTTTATTAGCCATTCTAATGGATATGAAGTTACTCTGGACTGTATGTTTGTATTCCCCCCAAATTCGCATGCTGAAACCCCATCCTTAAAGTGAATGTGTGGGCCTGTGGAAGGGGATTAGATCATGAGGGGAGAGCCCTTATAAAGGAGACCCCAGAGAGCTCCCTGCCCAGTTCTGCCATGGAAGGGCACAGAGGAGATGGCCGTCTCGGAACTAGGAAGTGGGTCCTCACCAGACATGGAATCTGCTGGCACCTTGATGCCAGGTGACTTCCACATGCTTGAAAACACTATGGGCTTAATGATGTGTGGACGCCCCCAGGTAAAGGGGGTTGAGGGAGACCCATTAGCAACTGGAGCTATGGCTCCTTTGCGGAGCAAGGGTCCAGGTACAAGATGTGTCCCTTTGGCCCTTGCACCACAGATGGGCAGGTATTGGTGAATCTACTAATTGCCTTGGCAGAAAAAGGAGGTACTGATCAAGAGGAGGTATTATTAAAGGATGAGATCTTTCTGAGAGTTCAACCCACATGGTAAAGTTTATGACAGTATTTCTAATGACTTTCCAGGAGAGTAATTGATAACCCAGAAATCAGGAATTATTGTGTTGCCAAAGGAATGACAATCTTAATTAGTTACCCTCTGGGGGGTAGAAAAGGTAGGGTGTGTGTTGTTAGTATAATAACAACAAATTTACAAGGAATCAAAAGAGATGCCAGGGCTGTTTCTCCAGCCAGCTGACCAGAAGGGGAATGGAAAACAGAACTACTGCTAATGTGATTAATAAGAGTGCTTTCAGAAATCATGTAAATCAGTCCCATTAAAGGACAGTTTAGAAAGTGTGTGTGTGTGTGTGTGTGTGTGTGTGAAGGCAATTTTCTTTGGGCTCAAACCTTCTTCTTAGCACCGCACCTTATCAGAATGTGTCAGGGCACTTTGTGTTGCTGTGGAAATTTATCTTAATTATAGGCTAGAAAGTGCTACTGAGAAAATTAAGAGAAGTTTAGTTAGAGTTGAGAGAAGATGAAATTGAAGCCTTGGAAAATGAAGCTTGCTAAGGATACACTCAGTATCTGAATTACTGGAAGGAGGTAGAATTTAGAGCTAAAAACATGAGATTTCCCACACTCATTTACTAGGAGACAGAGACATACATTTACTTAGGCAATATCAGTATGAGCTGAGAATGTAAATTAAATTTGTTAGTGCAGTTACATAACCTTGGATGTGCTCCTATTAAAGTTTCATGCTGAGATGTCCCGTTTCTTCCACTAAATTATAAGCACTTTGAGAGAACTTGAGAACTTCCAGTTAAACAAAAATCTGTAGCATACAGCCAGACTGCCAGTAATCAGCATACTTTTCCCCCAGAAACTGCTTTCTCAGAGGAAGACACACTGACAAGTGGTAGAAATAGGCTTCCCAGGCAGGGGAAGGGAGTTGTAAGACTGTGCCTCTGGATTTGGTTCCGGTATGTGACTTTGGGCAAGTTCCTTCACTTCTATGAGTCTAATCTAAACACCAAATTACATTCCAATCCTAATGATCTTGAGATCTGAGTCCCTAAATGGTGAGCTCTGTGGGGGCAGGAAATCCTGTCTGTTTTGTACGCTGATTCTGATGTGCGCCAACAGTCAACTGCATCTGCCCCATGCAGGCATTCAGTAATAGTTGCACAGAATTGTATATTATTTTGGAAAGCATTGTCTCCTTTCATCAAATCAGGTAGGCAGTGTTTTTCTGACCATATGGGCTCATGGAGCACTGGGGGAGAAGAAAAGAAGAGGGTCATCTACCATCCTCCCTGTCTGTTGACTTCAAGGCTGAATACTGCCACATGCGCCTTGGTGAGCAGGTTTACAAGAAATTAAAGGATATTAAGCCCCGGGCCTGTGCTGTCTCTTAGTGTGGGAAGGTCTCTTTGCAAGAAACCTTGCAAATCTGGACAAAGGGCAACTGCTTCCTCATTAGCAGCTACTTTCTTCGTCAGCATTGAGCCAGGTGGCATCTTGCAGCTACCTCTGTGAGCACGCAGACCCCCCAGGGGCATGTGTTAAAAATGGCTTCATTCCTGAGGAGTTCACTAATCAAGCAGCTCCGGGAAGCCTGTTATACAGCAGAACTGTTAAGTTCTTCTCAATGAAAAGTGGCTGGAAAATGCTATTCTATGGTTTCTCTCCCTCCCCCATGCCTTTCCACATTCCTGTGGGCATAGTTTTCTCAAAGCACTGATGCTCTTACTCTTCAGAACTGGTGAATGGCAAAGTTTTCCACCAAGCACAAGGAGTTGAACTGCAAACTTTAGTAGGCAGCATTTTTTTTCCTTTTTCTTTTTTTGCTTTGTATTCCATTTTCAATGTCAGAAACATACCCTTCCATTTCAGCATCCAGGGAAGCAGCCAGTTCAGTGAAGAGAAGCCCAGTGAGGAAGTGCTGCTGGCGGTACTCAGATGTCAGATCGAACATGCTGGCAATCTTCTGGTCTTGGAAACTGGAGCAGGAGCTCGAGTTCTGCAGAAATGCAAGAGGCAGTTTTATGGGTAACAAGAACTGGAATTAAGATCACGAGAGCTGGTATTTATTGAGCACGTGGTAAGGCCAGGCTTTGTAAGCATAACGCACTTTCTAAGTGAGGCAGGTACCACTACTGTCTCTGTGGGACAGATGAGGAAACCGGGATGTACAGTGGTCACTTAGCTTTCCCATTCCCACAGAGAGAGGACTGCCCATTGGGAAAGATACAAAAAAAGCATCCAGTGTCTGTCACACAATGAGTAACACTTCCTTCCCACCCACAATCAAAAGTTGAAGATGAAAATCCTAGGATAACAATTGGATAGGGGAATGGGAACTGGATCCAATGCTGTAGTTGGCAATTCCTCTCTGACAAACTGCCTCCTTTGTAACGAACAGGCCCCTGTGTACTGAGCTGTACTTCTAAACTTGGTTTATGCACAATGTTTGAACTTTGCTGGTCTGGAAACTAGAAGGGGTGTCAAGTCAGGGAAGTGTCAGATCGACCAGTCTTAGGCAATCCCCGTGCCTAGCGGGCGCACTTTGTATTTCACTCAGAGAATCTAGAATGTCTCTGGAAATCCTCGACATTTTCCTAACTCCTTGGGGTAGTTAGAAGGGAAATGTGGGCGAGGACGTAGGGCAAAGTTAGCACGTTTGGAATTGCTGCTTGCAAGACAGATCTTTCTCAGTTCACACTCACAGTCTCGTAGCTAGTATCTGGCTCATGTCTTTTGGCAAGATTATTATTTTTTTTAATTAATGAGACAAGCTTTCGCCTTTGTGCTAGTATCAAGGAATATGCAACAGAAAAAGAACCTAATATTGAGAAATCCCACTTGCTTCTCTGAGTTACTACCCTGTTCCCTATAAATGGAATGTGACTGTAAAATAGCATTTCCTTAAAGTTTTTCTAGAGGACACTAATCCCTTGAGAAATCTATGGAAGAAAAACAAGAAGTTTCTGGAGTCAAATCATTTTGGGAGTCACTGCTGATCATGCACCTCCTCCCATTTCCTTCTGCACCACTCCCCGGGGTATTTTCAATTGACATGAACAAGTTAGAGACTCTTGGATGGCTTTCTGCAAAGAAATCTGTCAACATAGGGTTTCCAAAACTGATAGGACTTTGGAAACCTGGATTTGCTTAATACCTCGGAAATCGTTCAGAACCTGGGGCCCACTGAACCTAACTTGAGAAACACTGTTCTACAAAAAATGACTGGCCACAGTCCTGTCTCTAAATATTAATACAAGTGTTACTCTTTTTGGCTGATCATGTCCAAGACTTGTTAGAAATATACTCTCTATAGAACAGGCTGTTTGCTTGGTTTATAATGAGCTCTTTTCAGTGCTTCATGAGCTAAATTATCTGGGCTGTGATTCAAGGTGGGCCCATCTTGTGCTGAATTCCATTCTGTAACAGTATCAGCAAGAAGTTCTAAGCAAGTTCAAAGATATAATATCCATGTTAAAAACCACTATTAGATCATTTTGGAATCCATGTAAAGGAGCCTGCAATTTCATAACTTTTGTGGTGCTGGGGTTTAGGAAAAGTGAAGTGAGCAAAGGAGACTACCAGGTTAAAAAGAAAGATGATTAACGTGAGACAAAAAAAGGACATGTGACTTTTCTACATATTTCTAAATTTTCATAGTGTATGTGGAGTCCTTGGTCTACTTGGTCTCAGCAGGGATCCTGGAGCTTAGAAAGAAACCAATCAATTAGCATGTAAATGATTAGTTAGGTGGCACAACTTTGGGTATCATACTTGCATTTATCCAGATCAATTGATCTATTTCAACAGCTTGATTTTTCTTTTAATTAAAAACACCAACCTTTATAGAATAAGTGACTAAACTAAGCTATTAAGTGAAGTAGCGAATATAATTTTCAGTCAGCTGATTACCTGGGAGGATATGGAGGGGCAGGGAGATGCTGGCGCAGTGTCAGCGTTCATAAAGAAGAGGTTCAGGTTGAGGTAATGCTCATGGCTGCAGAGGATTCTCAGGAACTCCAGCCTCATGGAGATGAGTACTGGAAGGCTGTTTAGCTTGGCTGACAGCTGGGAAGAAAAATGAGAAAATGAAAGAAGTATTTCTTATAAGGTCAATGGAGCTGAGGTTGACAGACACAAAAAATATCCTTTCACTCCAGATTAAGGCAGTCAGTTTAATAAAAATGAATGGGACGGCGCAACAGATGGCAAACAGCATTACAGGGAAGCCCAATTAAGTTTTCCCCCCTTAACTGTTTCCCTTTATGATTCGAGTCCAACCACTGTCTAAAATGAGGATTCTTGTCTGGAATCCCAGCCTTGTCAAATTTATAATACCATGGCAAGCCTCTGCTGGAAGTAATCTGGAGGTATGTCTTCAGTGTAACAGAGTATAATTAATTTTACAAAATACCCTACTGTGTTCAAGAAACTAAATGAAAGGAATTGACCCCACATGGTGCCACACAAAACTAAGGGACTATGACTGGATGACCTTAATGCCACAAGTGTAGTTTCTAATTAAAGACCCCAACAGGAAGTTCTCAAACCAGTCCCCTGGATGAGGAAATCAAAGCACTTAGAAAAGTATGTAGTCTCTGCAAAAAAGCCAAGGCATTTGCTTCAAAGAGGGAGAGGAGGAAGTAGAGGAGAAAGAAACAGAAAGCTGAACGAGTTTTCTGGAAAAATTTTTCTTAAACAAACAAACCATGAAATTAGCAATGAAAAGCTGACAAAGGTGACAGTCTGGAAGAGATCTCTTGCTTTCCTCCCAGGAAAGTTGGCAACTAAAGGACCCTGGCTCAATGGGCTGTGACTCAGAGGCAGCTCCTCCGACGGCAAAGTACAGGACGAAGGGTTTTGATGGACCTTGAACCTCTCAATATATCTTTATAAACACCCCAACCCACTCCCGCCTTGGCACAGGGAACCAACACTTCATCCTAAAAGACAGACATGCCTTCTCTTCATGCACTTAAAGAGCAGTTTTATTAACTATATAATCTAAATGAGCACGTATTATTCAGCCATTTTAGGAGAAGCCATTGTGTTGCGGCATTTTTGCCTATAGAATCAATTTGTGGCTAGACATTGGTTAGAAACAAATGAATGCCATTATGTATTATGTAAAAAAAAAAACCCAAAACATATGACCTCTGTGTAAGAACAGTGACCAGAACCCACCCTCTTATCAATGTACACTGCTGGCTAATTTTGGACTAAAGGGGCCACCAGCAAATTGAGTTGGTCAGAACTTGGTCTTACGTTCATCACTCATTCACAGAGAGCTGTGGGATCAAGCCAGCTATCAGAACATGCAAGCGTAAGGTATCTGCACTTGAAAAGGCCACACTGTGGGTATCTTTCATAGTTCCCTTGAGACTTCATTAAAGATAGACATTTCAAAAATAATTTCAGTGACATTTAGTACAGAGTAAGGTGCAGTTCCTGAAACAGCCTCCTCAAAGGTCAGGACCCGCAGTGGTAGCCTCAGTGGCCCGACCCAAGGATGGGTGCTAACTTAGTGGCAGGTTGAAAGTAACATAGAGCAATTGAAAGCTAGATTTTCCTATTACCAGTGACTACTAATAAAAGAATAAGTTTATATTCATGGTCACAAAGTCCATAAATGACAGAAAACATGACAGAATGTTTGAATCGGGTTATGCACCATGATAAAATCAGAGGACTTTAGAAGAGTAGAACTTGCCCCAGGTATGATGTTCGTACTGTATCTAGAGAGCTGGGATCAATGAATTAAATCACCATTGACTGGGGTCGGTGATTTTCTAGGCCTGTGTGCCAGTCATTGTGCTAAGCAATAGCCATGGCTGTCACTGGCATACACAGAGTATAGGCTCAGAACTTTAACATCTGAGTAAATTTAATGTATTCTTATCTTCTCCCAGACCAGGAAGCTACTGTCCCAAATGGTGAAACCCCCAAATCACAGATGTGCTTAATGGCATCACCGGCCTTAGAAGACAGATCTCCAGATTCCTGGTCTAAGGCTCCCTGGCAGTGGAGACTGGAAAGAGGGAGAAAAAGGAGAGTAAATTAGAAGTACCCTCTAACTTAAAGGACAAGAAAAGGATTAAAAAAAGAAAGAGAAGCTAGAGGAAGGAGAAAGAGAAAAAAGAGAAAATAAAAACGTGCATTTGCAGGGCTGGTACATATCTACCTTTGATTGTTATTTGTCTTTTGTTAAGAAAAACTGTCCACAATGAGCAATGACAAAGGTCCTTTCTGTGACCAAACTCTATCTGGTTCCTCTGAGCTCTTTTTCAAATAGGTCAGTCCCCAGGAATACCCTCAAGAGCCCAATTTTAGCAAAAATCCTGCTAAGAGAATTTAGTCAAAACCCCCACCCTTGATAGCAGAGCACCCTTAATATCTGACCAAATAAATCCTCATCCCTTACCACCCTCCAGATGGAGTTGTGCAACAATCCTGCTGGGTCCGTGCAGCCAGAATCTTTCCTTTCCCCAGACATTTCTTTCCTCTCAGTCATTATTCAGCTACTGGCCACCCCAACTCTTCTCCTTGGCTATAAATGCCCACTTTTCCTCATTGTATTCAGTGCTGAGCTTAACCTCTTCCTTATTGCAAAACCCCATCGCACTAGTCTCTATACCTCTCACATCGGTGTTGGATAAAGGATGCCCTACTGTTTACAGGTATCATAAATAATTTTTTTCTTTAACAGCAGATAAATCTGGACTTATAGTGATGTTCTAGTATCTCCTTTCTATATGTAATATTTTGAAAAACGGATTTGATTTCTATTTGCAGTTCATCCAGTGACTTGTAATCCTAAACACCTAAGAGGGATGGCAAAGAGGAATGGTGCTTCCCCCACCACTTCAATCTGGTGGAATGTGGAACAAAGACCCACACAAGGTCAGGGGGTCAGAGTGCAGCAGGTGTTGGTACCCTGGGACTTCTGATGTTTCCGTAGGAGTTTCTTACTAGGAGTTCCTTTAAAAAAGTCATGGTTTTTTGGAGGGGGGAAGGGCAGGTCTTTTTATTTTATAAATGAGGAAAAGAGATCCATAGAAGTTGAGTGACTTATTTAAGGTCACTAATGGATTAACCACAGAGAGCCAGGCCTGGTAGAACAGGGTGATTAACCCATTGTACCTGGGAGTTACGCACACATGGCTGTTTTCTCCCCAGACAAGTTACATTACTCCTCTAAACCTCAGCCTTATCATCTGCAAAATATTGATAACAACACCTTGCAAAGAGTAAAAGAAATGATTTTTATAAAGGGCCTAACACAGTGCCTGGTGTAGAGGAGGAAGCCCGTGGCGGCGGCCACGACGGGAAGGATGCAGGTGGTGATGGTAGACTTGGTGGGTGGCAGTGAGAGTGGGGGTGGCAGGTGATGACCGTGGTGGCAGGGAGCGGTGACAGTGCAGATGACAGTGGCAGTAATGGCTAAAATAGGATTATGAAAAGGAAGGAGTAGGAACAATGATAACTGCTATTTATGTTACTATTGTTGGGACAGTCTGAAGGAGACAGTGAACACAAGAAGAATTCCATTTAAAACATTGGGGAGATGGCACTGATACAGTTCTTGGATTACAAAATATTTGCTTTGTGCTCAGTGAAATTCAGTCTCTTTTTTATTTTATTAGGGTCCTCTAAAGTCAGGACTTCACAACCACACTTTAATTAATTACCCTAGGACGTGAAAAGAGACATCATACTTTGCATTCTATACCCGATCAGAGATTGAATGCCCCAGTCATGTAATTTCTGTTACATGTTAAATTGAAGACTGCAGATCATATCACTAACAAAACTCAATTTCCATAGATTAACTTGTTAACCCTTCAGTACTGGCTTGGTAAACGCTCTAGGGATAACTGCCAACCAACCACTATGTCTAGGAGTGTCCACGGCGCAAAACTCAGAATGTTCAAGAGCCAAGCTATCTACCTTGGCAGTGACTAAGAGAGCATGCCACAGCAAGGAGCATCACGTCGGACAAGAAGGAACCATGAACACCGTGGCTATGTCTGACGGCTACTCACCTGGTTGCAGTAATGTTTGATGAGGTTAAACACAAAGCCACGATCCATGAGTGAGAGAAGGTCATACAAAAAGAAAGCCAGGCTGATGTTCATCTTTTCTGCCTGATCGTTTTCCTTAAAAACAAACACACAAACACCCAAATCATTCTGTGATAAACCCTGGTCAAAAACTCCCAGGCCCCTGGTGGAAAAGTTGGGAGAGGCAGGTCCTATTTGTAGTCAGTGTTCCTCTGGGAGACACTGGGCAAAGCAGGTAACCCTGCAAAATTGGAGCAAGTATCATTTAGAACTTAACTGAAGCCAATTAAGTTACATTGTATCAAGTAATTCTTTATCTACTGTTAATACTAAGGTATATTTCCTTCTAGTCTTTTTTTCTACATACATATGTATATGTATATAATTGAGCTTATTCTCTATATACAATGTCGGTCCTGAATTTTTTCATTCAATATTACATAATAAACATTTTCCTAAATTCCAGTTTCTCATTTTTCTTCATATGGCTCTACCATAATTTATTTGACTCTAGTAAGTACTGTTTTGGCAAAACTAACTTGAAATGTACTATCCTCAATGAGACAGATTCTTGTAAGGATTGTTGCAGAAAATCAAATTGGGATAATATAATTCATTTTTACCTACGGGCTTTTTTCTCTCCAATTAGGTAGGATCCCCAGCGTAAAAGAGGTCATAATCATATCTGGTAAAGGGAACCCGTGCATAAATTGAGGCCAGGGTTTTGTTTTTATTACTTCACAGTGCTCATAGCTCTGAAGGGTTTTACAGAATTTCAGAGCAACTGGAAATTCCCTTGTTCATGGTCACATCTCCTTTTCTCAGAATGGTAAATCAATTTTCTCTGAAACTACTGAAAATATTTTCCTCTTGTGATGTTGTGCAGTTTGCCGATTCAGGCCAAGCTGACCGGCCACCAGCCTGGATGGAGACCTGGTAAAGAAGTTTCCACAGTATCATTGAGCAGCAAGTCCTCACGCTCTCAGCATCCTCTACATGGGCTACACCTGGGTAGCAAATAGAACTGTCTGAATATTCTGGAATGGAATTGCCAGTTTTCGCTTTGCTGCTAGCTGTCTGACTTTTGAAAAGTTTACCAACCTCATCGTGCCTCACTTTCCACGCCTGCTAACGTGGAAATATCATCGCCACTCTCACAAAGTTTGCCATGAGGAATAACCAAGTGGTTATTTCTCCCAAGCACTTGGTACTTTACCAGTTCTTTAGAACGATAAATGTGTTAATAGTGATCATTGCTGCCTCAAATTTTATAGCTGCCTTTAAAATTGTGCTTCATTTCATTTTATATATTCAACTTTCTATTTTAAAGTAATTTTCAACTTACAAGAAAAGGTGCAAAAATAGTATAAAGAACTCTTGTATAGTCTTTAACCAGGTTCATCAGTATTTGACATGTTGCTACATTAGCTTTATCATTCTATCTATACAATTGTTTTCAGAACCATTAAAGAGTAGGTAGCAAACATCATGCCCATTTACAAACATCATGCTCTATAATGCTTCAGGGTCTATTTCCTAAGAACAAGAATATTCTCTCTCATCTTTACATTAATACAATAATTTAAACTATTGCAGTTCTGTGTTGCAATTTCTTTATAGCAATCCCTCTGACCTACCCCAGGGTCCCATCCAGTATAAACTGCAGCATTTAGTTGTCAGGCATAGTCAGTTACATCTCAATCACTGTGTTAAGATGGTGCTTATTTTTCTCTGATTATGAAAATAACATATGTTCAAGATAAAACATTTGGATAGGAAAGAGTGAAATGACACAATTACCTTCTGAGGCTTTACTACAAGAGCCGCAATCTCCGAGGTGACCACATTAACAATGGTAGTTATGTCATCTTTGAAACGGTCGGAAAAACGAGTCCTCCGAAAATTGTCCTGTTTGTCCGTGTTGTGTACATACTGGGCCATGCTTTTCACCTATAGCGGGGATGGAGGAAATGTCAACGTGGAAATTAGTGACCTGCCTGCACACTGCGGAAAAGGAGAAAAGACTGGAAGAAAAGCTCACTAACAATAGACTTTCTAACACTTTATTGGTGCTGGTAGTTGCCCAAGCAGGCGCTGGACTAAAAAAATGCTCCTGACACACAAATGGTTACCATGGTGGCAGGAGGTGGGAAGGGTGTCCTTTTCTTGACCCCAAGTCAGGGGGCTTTCTCCTTGCTGCTGATAAAGCCAGGGAGCTTAATTCTTTGGCTATTTGTGTCATAAGACTCCCCTTCTCTCTACTGCCAGCGTCAGGAGGGCAGACCTACGCTGGGCTGCCCGAGCCACTTAGCTTTCAGCCTGTCATAACGCAACACCCTACCGACAAAGGGACGGTTTACGGAACTGTTTTTGGTGTGAACTGATGTCAATGCTATCCCTGAAACTACAGTAAGGAGAAATGGGAAGAGATGTTCCTCTTATCTTGATTTCAAGTTGAAATGGAGAGCACAGTTTTTTCCAGAAACAGTTCTATAGCGTGCTAGCTGGAAACTGGGCCATTATTTGGAACATTGTCTCTAAGAGAATTACGTTTTGAGTTTTATAAGACTAACTTGTTTTATATATGTTTTAAATATGTAAATTTATCTATGTCAAATATATTTATATTTTATATTTACATGTTTGAAATATATATATTAAAATAAAAACCTGTGTGTCAATTGGTGATTGTATTATGACTAGCATACTACTGGCTCAGTGCCTATCACAATTTTAAATTAAGATCATGCTTATTTTTTGGACTTTTTCCTGGGATCAGGAGATTTGTGGGTTCATACGACTTCTTGGGATACAGTCTGAGTTTGTATCTTGTCTTGTTGGAATCTGCCAGGAGCTATTAGGAACAGTCTGATGGGAAAGACTGGGAGTTCTGGCAGTTGAGTGCCTACCCCCTGAGGTCATTTTCATGACTGTGTCCAGGCTAGTCAGAGAATTGCCACAAAAATAAATGGCCCTGGAAGTTAAATCACCCACATTTGCCTGAAGGCGAACCCCTAGGTCAGGGCTGGAAGAAGAAAAGAGAAAGACAGTTTGTGAGGGGAAAATGACTCCTACTCTTAAGAGGTCTATAGGAGAACTTTGCACTAACAGCAGATTTCTTTTTAAGAATGCACGACTGGCAATTTTCATCAGCACTGAGACAAACAGGTATAAAAAAAAAAGAAAAGGTAAATTAAGAAGAGAAAAACAGGCAGATAAACTTTATTTGTTTCGTGTTTTAAGATAATGTCATGGCCGGCTTGGGGAATACCTAAGAACGTAAAATCTGAAAGCCAAGTGTCAGAACATGGTTTCTCTTCGACGTGAAGTTCTTCTTGGGTCAGCACACATGGACATGTCTGTACCTCAGGGTCTCACACACTTGGTGAGAGGACCTAATGAGGGGAGGGAACTGGACTCCATTTTTGTCTGACAGCGGTGTCTATCATTATGCTAACAAAGGACCTCGGAAGACAAGGCCTCTTTGTTTGATGCTACCCTATTCCTGATCCTCTGCTGGCTACCCTACCCAGCATCAGGCTTTTAGAGCTTACTGTGGTATTTGGCTCCTGCCTGCTGAGCCTGGCCATTCTACAGCCAAATAAATAATTCTCACAATACCGTACTTCCAACCAATGGCCTCCTTCCAGACCATCAGCAACTTGCCAGCTACTGTGTCCTTTGTATCTCTAGGGAGGAGCACCCAGTAGAAATATTAGTGGATGCTTGGCCCATTATTTGTAGGGTGAGGTAAGGTAAGAAAATATTTCCCCCTCTGTTGGCCTTTGTGACCCATTCTAAAGCAGGGTACCTCTAAAGAACACCTTGGTGCAGAAGTTCATGTCCCGAGAAGTTCATTACCACTGGGTTCTCAAAGTCTGGCTCAGAGGTTTATAGAAGCACAGGGATTGATTCATTAGCAAGTGTGAAACTCACAAAAGGAGTGTGTTCAACATCTCTACTGCCAAAGTGGTTGCTCATTACTGCTTGGGCATGAACATAACCGAAAAGTATAAAGCCTCCCAGGCTGTCGACTAAGTTCAAGAAGGCTGTCTTTCTTTCTTGTCAAGATTCTTGGGCAAAATAAAACTGTCTTGGTTTACCATCATCATCATCATCACTGTTACTATCTTTAATCCTTACCTGAGGATATGTTTATTGGTTTTAGAGAGAGAGGAAGAGAAAGAGAAAGAAAGAGATCGAGAGAGAAAGAAAGAGAGAGAGCGAGAGAGCATTGATGTGAGAAACATTGATCAGTTGCTTCCCATATGCACCCCAATCAGAGATCAAACTGACAACTTAGGTATATGTCCTGACTGGGAATCAAACCCATAACCTTTTGCTATGCGGGACGATACTCCAACCAACTGAGACACCCAGCCAGGGCCTATCTTGGTTTTTAAATAACTTTTTGGGCGTGCATAAAGCAAATGCACAAACATTGCATGGAGGACTGGGTGCCCTGTCTGAGTCTGAGATCAGTTTCCTTATAAAGTTCCGGCTGGGGCGGACATTTTCCATTTGTCTCCACCATACCTCTTAGATTAGTGGTCCCAAACCTTTTTGGCAGGCACCGGTTTCATGGAAGACAATTTTCCCATGGATGCGGTTAGGGTATGCAATAAGGGGGGACAGGAGGCGGAGCTCATGTGGTAACGCCAGCAAAGCTTCACTGGCTCCCCTGCCGCTCACCTCCTGCTGTGTGGCCTGGTTCCTAATGGGCCACCGACTGGTACTGGTCTGCAGCCCGGGGGTTGGGGACCCCTGCATGAGATCCATTTCTTGCCCTTCTCTGCCTCTCTCTGCACACTGAGAAGCTGATCTCCATGGACTACATCTCACAGGCCTTCTTGGGCTTCTGGCTGAGGCTGGCCAATGGAGCCACCAGCAAGGGATCCATGGGTGTGAGAATGGAGAGGTCCTGGTATTTAGCCACTCCACTGCCCCCATCCCTGCCACAGCATGGTTCCTGGCAGTAGCAACATTTCTCTAAGACTCCAGCTTCTGTCATGGGGACCTTTTCCTCTGCCTTAGCTTTCTTTCTCTGGGCCCCCGTTACAGTGTTCCCTATCCTTGCTTCCTTAGAGCTGGAATAACAGCTTCCAGCACTTGTTGCTCTGTGGGTGCCTCACCAACCCTCATCTGCTTCTGTAACCTCATGTTCGCCCTGGGAAAATACCTCCAATAAGTGCTTTTCAGTTAACCCTTTTGAGTAACGTCAACGCTTTCCTGTCAGGACCCTGAAAGACTTAGGTGATAACATGCAGAGTCCTGGGTGATGGTGTCTTGGGTTGGCATGCTGACCAAGCCCCTCTACATGCTCAGATTGCCAAGAGCTTTCTTTTTAACTGTTGCATCTGTTTCGCATACAGGATTCTTAGAGGGAAAAAGAACTATCAGCTTTACTTTTGCTTTCTCTCTTGGGCCCACCAAGTCCCAGTAAGTAAATGTGCGAGATCAAAAGCAATTTTCACCTTTTCATAGTTCTTAGCTCCCTGCAGCAAGGGGAAGCAAAGCGGCGCTGATGAAGCCCTGGGTGGACCTGGGGACTCCTCCTATGGCCACCACCCTTCCCCAGACACCATCCGTAAATTGGGGATGACCGAAAACTCCTGCTTCAAGGTTGTTTGAGGATTAAATGAGATAACACTTAAAATGGTGCCTGGCACAACAGTAAAATGGATGACATATTTTTGAAGCCATCATTTTCCTTTCTTGGGGGATGCCAGCTATTAGTAGAATTAGACGAAGGATACCGCCATTGTCCTGCACACACAGAATGCCAATGTGCCATCATCAGAGAGTTCCAGGCTGCCATGTGGAGTGGCCTAGCACTGCTGAGTTCATTCTCATTGGGAGTGGAATAGTAATTGCAGCACTGCATTAAAGCTGACTTCTGCACATGGTCAGTACGTTTTGTCGCTCTGACCTTCCAAGGAGAGGCAAATGCCAGAGAAATAGAACCTGGAAGAGAGCGTTGCAGAATTGAGGCTCCACCTCTTCCTGGCTGAGAGGCCTGGGCAATCCCCCGCTTAGCTTTTTGGCCCTGCATGTGCAATGGGGATAATCCTCAGGGCTGCTCTCTCACAGGGCTTCACTGACGTTACAAGGACATGGTAAGGAGGCCCTAGGGCTCCTCCCGGAACCCTCACATATCACAGTTTGAGGGCTAATATCCTAAGAGTTCCGTTCTCCAGTGTAACAGCTGTAGTGCTTATAATACATAACTATTAGATAATTTTTAGGAATGATTAGGTGAAGTGTGTGTATGTATGTATGCGTGCATGTATGTGAGTAAATGACAATACATCTTTATATTGAGATACCACTTTCCTTTGAAGGATTTTTTACCCTGATATTCTACAACATTGAATTTAGTTTTTGCTTCTTGCTTTTTAAAAAATCTTGCAGTATGACAGATGAATTCAGTTTGAGATCAGTGTATGCATTATCTATACAAGGATGATGGCCCATGAGAATCTTCTTTATGGAGAAATGTGATGGTGGGTGGGATGGGTGAGTAGAAGCAGGATGTACAGGGCATGAAATGTTGATTTTGATACATCTCATGCCTCAAGAAAAAGTTTAATGGCCAGTTTACTTGCTGCCAGAACACAGAGCTCTTATGTCACTGCTAAATTTGTTGCTCTGAGACCTGCGAGCTGCAGCCACCCCCTTCCTCAGCCTGGCTTTTAGAATGCAAAATGCTGGCTCTGGCTTGGTATAAAGATCCTTAGCTTGTTTAGGCCTCAGAGCAGAGGTGGCGGGGACTATAGATCTTCAGTGTTCTTAGAAGTCACCTAGGAAGACAGGTTAATGTACAATGCTGGCTTCTACTCCTCCTCTTTGCATTCAGTAGTTCTAGGGAGAGTCTCAGGAAACTGCTTTATTTTTGCTAAGCACCCCCAGGTGATTCTGTTGCTGGGATTTGAGACTGAGTATTGAAAATACACTTCTCTAGCAAAAGCAGAGTTGTTTGTTTGTTTTTTTTAACCCTATTGCATACCACTTCCCATTTCCACCTCAGTGTGTGTTTTATTTTTGTTTCCTTTGACCTTCTTGTTCTCTATGTGCTGTTGTTCAGTAGTGTCTCATTTTTATTAGGCTTGAACATACATAGATAAATTAGAGCCCAAGTGAAAACTTTACCATCTCTCTCTAATCAAAAAATTATCCAGTTAATGTCACAAGAGAAGGAACCTGGTCAATATAAAGCTAACTCTATCACTAAATACGAACCCACTCCTAATTCTTATTCTGCTGATTGCACATTTTTATGTGGTTCGTGTCTGCTCTTTCATGCCTTTTTCATTTAACATCATTTCATAATGCATTTCCATTTATCAACAAAAGTTATTCTTATTGACTTTATGGTAAAAATCTTTTCATTTCTAGTAACGATTAAACAAAATATAGGTTTATTATTATTCTCTTTATTTTAAATGTAAGGACTACATTGTACTTTTGCTTTTCTGCTAGAAAACTGATAGAAGTTGTAGGGTAAACAACTTTACAAGTTTCATTTTTTTCCCAACAAATATTAGTTGGTGCTTGTATGATACTAAGATGTGTGCTGGGGCTAGAGGTAGGATAATTGGGAAGATAAATTTGAAGCCTAGAAATCTAATACAAAAGACAGGAAACCAATCATAAATTGTGATAAGTGCTAGAAGGGAAATAAGGTGTTTAACAGGAGACAAATAGAGTGGAAGACATATTACAGTAACAGGTAGTCAGACAAGGCCTCTGGAGGTGGTGTCATTTAAGCTGAAACCTAAAGAGAAGAACCAGAAAAGTATGTGCATGGGAGGGATGAAAGGTGGAGAGGGGAGAGAGAATTTGGAAAAGACTTTTGAGGCTCAAAAGGCCTTGGCATCTTCAAAGAACCAAAAGGGGAACAATGTGGTTGAATGGGGTAAGGCATGAGACGAGTTGGTTAGAGATGGAGGTAAACAGAGTCCCATGAGGGCTTTGTGGGCCACGACAAGAAAGTGTGCTTTATTTCCCGTACTCTGAAAATCACCGAAGGGTTTTAAATAAGAGAGTGACATTATCTGCTTAATATTGGGAGCTCTGTGGAGAACGGGTGGCGAGGGCAAAATTGCATGCAGGCGGGTCAAAGAGGAAGTTTCTGCAAGAGGCACCTGAGAGATGAGGGTGGCTCGGCCGGGTGGCGGGTGATGAAGATGATGAGAACCTCGGTGTAGGAGGTAGAGAATCCACAAGATTTGGTGGAAGAAGGGCGGAGAGGTGAAAGAGAGCAAGGTTTTAAGTCATGATCCCAGGTTTTCAGCAGGAGCAACTCAGTGGACAAAATGTCCGTTCCCAATATGGAACACTCCATTGCCTTTCCGCAACAGGCTTTTCATGCCCTACTGAGCACAGATATAAACATGCAAGAATCTCACCAGAAGCTCGAAGAAGAACCAGGCGTACTTGAAGACTGTTTCTCTCACCATTCCAGTGCTGACCACCATCTGCAGGGCAAGCTCCTCATGGAAATGCTAGATGACACACATACACAACAAACCACGTTCATGTCATGACAGTCTGTGAGGACAAATGCTTTAATCCCAACACCTCTTTTCTTTTTGTCACAATTGTAAGAGCTTGTTAGTTACTGACATGCGTGTCCTAGATGTTCTAGGCCACAAATGGATGGCAAGGTCAGCCTGAGCGGGGAGGACATTGGAGCAGGTAGGAGACGGCCAGCCAGCGGCCGTATCACACTGGAGAGCTCGGTGTGAAGGATGGGCCTCGGCAGAGGAGGGGACCTGCTTTCTGGGGCAGCAGGCAGCACGGGGGCTGTCCGTGGTCCTCCTTCAGATCCCGCAGCAAACCCTCAGTTTTCCCACCCATAAAATCTGTTGTTGGTTGGTAGCAATGGTTCTCAAGCTTAAATGTGCATCAGGGTATTCAGAGCGCTTGTGAGGCCCCAGACTGCTGGGCCCACACCCAGGGGTTTGGATTCGGATTCAGTACATCTGGGGCAGGACCTGAGAATTTGGTGTCTAACTCGTTCCTGCTGGGGACCTCTATTCGAGAACCAGTGACTAGATGGTATGTAAACTCCCCTCCAGTGGGACAGTTCTAGTTTTTCTATCACACTACAGCTTTGTGGGAAACGTGATGGCTTAAGTTTACAAGCAGATCTTCTGCATTAAAAGGTATAGTGGTAGCAGCCTGAACTCACAACTTCTAAACTCCGACATCCCAGAGTCAGATGCTTTCAAATCCCCAGCTCCACTTTATGTCTGCACTTCCCTTCCAGTCATCCAACTGCTCGATAGCAAATGCAGCAGATGGTAATTTTTACACCTTTTGTATCTTTCCCATTCCCTGCTCTATCTGGCTACTTGTTAATGCTCTTGACAACAGTTTTGATTGAGACTAAAGGTGGGGCAACCAACTCATCTCAGTTGGCCTGAGACTGTCTTGGTCTTTTTTTTTTTTTTTTTTTAAGATTTTATTTATTTATTTTTAGAGAGAGGGGAAGGGAGAGAACAAAGAGAGGGAGAGTGTGTGGTTGCCTCTCATGCACCCCCTACTGGGGCCCTGGCCTGCAACCCAGGCATGTGCCCTGACTGGGAATTGAACTGGTGACCCTTTGGTTCGCAGGCCAGCACTCAATCCTTTGAGCCACACCAGCCAGGGTGAGACTGTCTTGGTCTTAAAATAAAGGTCTTGCATCCCAGAGACTCCCCCCTCTTGGTCCTGGGAAAACTGGGACAGTTGGTCACCCTAACTCATGACAAAAATGGGCATTTTCTGTGGATTTCATTTATCTAATGGCCACAAAACATAGAATAAAAGCAGATAAACTAACTTTTCAATTGTTTTGTGGGCAAGAAAGCCAAAACTATTTGACCATCCTAATACCCGACCCTAGGATGCTTGCTGACTTCTGTGGAAGGTACTATATGTTTTAAATTCAACGTCTAAAACAAAAACTGATTGTAGCAAAGATTGCCCTTAACCAACCTTTGAATTACCCACAATGTATAATATGCATGCAACCCAATTTACTAATTCTCATGTATATTAAAATTTGACAGTTACTCAGCTAAACTAAAAGGGGACAGATGGAAAATCTGTATGTGGATGTCTTGAGATTCTAACTATTTATACCCCCAAACTGGTCCTGGTAATGAGTGGGCAATACTGAAGCTTCTTAGTGGGTTCCACTTCATCCTCCCAGATGAGTCAAGCCTTTTTAATTGTCATACAAGTTAATACACTCGTTTGCTGCTGGGAGTCTTAAGTTTTCCCATCTGGGAGAGGAAGGAGGTTGAGTGTTAATCTAGTAGGGGGTCTCAGCGTGCACATGGTGTCACTTAAATACACATGGATCTTCCCACTGCAGGAGACACAATGCTCTACCAGCTTCCAATATAACCTCTGGAAAATGGGTCAATTTGATTGCCAGTCTTATGACAAGAAGAGATTAGAGAAGGACAAACTGCTTATTAAAGTAATTTATGCTTATTACAAGAATGCTTTGCTCCGGAGGTTACAGACAATGGCCAAGCAGCTAAACCCTGTTTGCTCAGCTAGGAAGGAAACACATTGGCTAAGCTTCCCTCTGAAATAAAATGATTTCTTCTGGTCACTGAGATGACCAGAAACCAAGTTAAAACAAAGTAATTGCAAAACTAAATAATGACTGTCCCTGGAAGAAATCAGGCCCTGCCTTGAGGTCGTCAGGCTGTAGAAAAAAAAAACATGGTTTTAAGCAGGAAAACGGTACCCGTAACCAGTCAGTGCAAAGCACAAAGCTAAGTTTTAGAGTGACTGAAAAATTTACTTTGAGCACGTACCCATAACTTCTTTCACTTCTTTTACAATTACCTCCTGGTACCTCTCCCCCGATTTACGCTGCCTGGATGACAGCAGCGTGCAGCCCCGCATGGCCTCTGTGCGCTGGATTTTCCCCTCACCTCCTCTCAAGGGAGCTATCCCGAGACTCGCCTCTTCCCTCCCTGTTTAATACACGTTGTCCCGAGGTATCAGCCGTTGCAAATGGCTCCCATCGTAACAGAGGTCTTCAAATACGCTCAAGACCTTAACTTAAGGAGCTCCTGTAATGGCGGAACTCGGGTGTGTGGCGGAGAAGAAAATTTGGGAGAGACAGCTTTTTTTACCCTGCCACCTCGTAGACCACACAGGCAGTGACTCTGACGGGGGGATTCTGTGAACGGACGGGGGTCTGGTGAGCAGTTTAACTGCTTGTAAAGTCTCTGAACTCATACAAGGTGTTGATTAGGAAGAATTACGAGGAAGCATTTCATATTTCTTTGATATCTGTAATATTAAAATAAATGATACCTAATTATTTCCATTCACTTTTGTTGAGGATGAATTGTCCCCAGCTCACCTTCAACCAAAAAAAAAAAAAAAAAAAAAAAAAGCTAATGCAGTGGTTCTCAAAGTGTGGTCCCTGGACCAGCATCAGCTAAGGGCTTATTAGAAATGTGAATTCTTGTACCCCACTTTAGATCTTTTAAATCAGAAACCCTGGGGATAGGGTCCAGCAATCAGTTTTAACAAACCACCCAGGTACATCTGATACTTGGTAAGTTGAAGAACCACTGAGTTATTAGGTAATTACAAAAAATGAGGGACAGGGCTCCAATGTCTAGTGTATGTATGGGTGTGTGTGTGAAGGGTGGGAACCAGCAGATATTGCCCTCACACTGCGCAGCTCAGTACCTTTTTGCTGGCTGCCCTTGGGGTCCCGCTTGCACTCGGAACATCATTATTGCCAGAGCCATAGTAAGACATCCGGTTGCAGCTGCGATCAGCCACCTGAAATACACAAACCACGACTTAACGGACAACTGACAGTGGTGCACTGGGAAGATGAGCCCGTGGCCTGGAAATCACAACCTCAAAATATATTTTTTAAATGTATTTCTTACCTTTACTCTCGTTGCAAAGGTAAAACAATTGTCGTACATAAATATAACACAAAGCAAAGAAGGTAAAGTTATTCGTAACCCTACTTCACCTATAGTAAAACCTAGTTAAGTACCAGGGGGTGTGCTTAGCAGTCCCTTCAACAGTGTCAGTCTGTGACATTAGCGGGAGAGCAGAAAAAATGTGAGGGAACAGTGCCTCCCTGTGGGTTAGTATGGTACTGTGCTTCACCTCCCAAACACTGGTTAAGAAATGGTCCAAAACCACATGGACAAACTTTTATCCCCTTGCTACAAAACAGTTAGAAAATTCTTAACCGAGTCCACATAGAAATTTAATATTTTCATTTTTATTAAATAAGGCTATTATTATTAAGGCTATCAACGATAACTGTAGATCATTTCTCCCCTGGGCAATCAGAAAATGATATTGTTTAAAGGGACCTTAGGTATGAGCCTGAACCATGGAGTACCGGCACATGTTTAACAACCAGCTCTCAGGGGTGAGGTGAGGGATGGGGACTGAATTATAGCACCTGCCAATTTCTGTGCTGTGACTTCTCCCATCATAGCTTATTTCAAGTTATGATGTCACTGAGCATAACATTGAGAAGAGATGTGAAGTAGTAAACCATTATATACTCTTTCCACAAAACAGATGGAATAGACTTAAATAACCTCAAGAACATAGATAATAGTAAAATGTAACAGAATAATTAGGAGGGGATAAGCTTTTTAAAGTGGAACAATTTAGATTTTCGGGCAAATTGCGAAGGTGGTACAGAGGGTTCTAATGCACACTTCTCCCAGATTCTGATAATGTTAATGTCTTGCTTAACTATGGTATGTGTGTCAAAACTAAGAAGTTATCATTGGCACATAACTATTAACTAAACCACAGCCTTTATTTGGATTTCACAAGCTTTTCCATTAATACCCTGTTTCTGTTCGAAGATACAGTCCAGGACACCACGCTGCATTTAGGTTAGCTTTGTTTTCAATATAACTTATTGCATTACCAGTTTATATAATTTAATTTTTAATAATTCAGACTAAGAATTCATGGTAGTTTCATGGGGAAAAAACCCACTGAATTATATACTTTGAAAGGGTGTATTTTATAGTATGTAAATTATATCACAATTTTTAAAAACTTCAAATGAGGGATATTCTACAAAATATCTGACCAGTACTCCTCAAAACATCAAGATCATCTTAAAACAAGGAAAGTCTACGAAATTGTCACAACCAGGTGGAGCCTAAAAAGATATGACTACAAAATATAATATTACTCCAGGATCTTGGATGGGATCCTGGAACACAAAAAGGATGTTAGGGAAAAGCTGAGAAAATATGACCTTTAGTTACCAAAGATAACATATCGATATTGGTCCATTAATTGTGACAAAGGTACCATTATAATGGACAGGAAAACTGGGTATGTGGTATACAAAAAACATTCTATATTACACTCACGGTAACTCTATAAATCTAAAACTGTTATAAAATTATAAAAAGTTTATCAAGAAAAAGCAACAAGTTCATGGCAGGGAACAAAATATAGGGCAATTCACAACATAGGGCAAACCTCTCAGGATCTCAGGTTTTATCTGTTTATAAAATATGGATGTGCTCTTTGGGATTATTGTATGGGATAATCAATCAATAGATGCTAATAAATGCAAAAGGCAAATACGAAAAATCAAAACAAAATAAAGGTAACCTTTCTAGGCATCAAAAAAAAAAAGTTAAATGTCTTTCCTTGAAAATAAAATGCATGATATTCATTGGGTCCTGTGGTTAAACCAGCTATGCCTTAAAAAATTCCCACCAGAGAGAACTAACTGAGCAGATCTTCAAATGCCAGTCTTGCCTCTACATCTTTCAGAATGACCTCAATCACTTCAAAGAAAAGAATATTAATAACTCTAAAGCTGAGTATGAAGGCATTTGACCAACACTGTGGGCAGCAGTAGTGGTCGATTTTATGTTATTCCTCCAAGAGTTAGTTAAAAATAAAAAAAAGCCTGCATCACTTTCCAGGGTTTGACATCTTCCCTACCTTTGAAGACATAATGTTCTTAACTTCCTCGTCTGCTGGAGAGTGTGTCCCCGCAAGGTCTGGATTACTGCTGCTCATCACCCGGGCCTGCAGCAGCTTCGAACTCACAGCAGCAGCAGACGTGCGTCCATATGTGTGGTAGCGAGGGTCAGGGAGCGCAGTGGGGCCGCCTGCGCCCCGTCAGGTACAGACATGTCAACAGAAAGGGGGTCAGAGTCACTTGCCGGGCTTGAGAAGGAACTGAAGAGGGATAGGATGGACAGCGGGATGGAAACCCACTGGATTAGGGCTTGGAATTAGAGTCTTATGATCAAACGCCTAGGGGAGGCCAGGGAGGCAAGACGGGTGGCAGGAAGTACGGCAGAAGGGAGTGGTGAGGCCTGTGGTGAATGCTGCCCGGCTCCAGCCCCTTACTGCCAGGGGAGCTTGCCATCTGGGTGACAGAGCTTCTGATTTCTCCAGACAAGCCGCAAATGTGGGCCTTTTTAAATTAATATTTAAATGATGACAACTTTGCAGTGATACAGTAAGGTTCTCTGAGATTTCAGAATCTAAGGTATTATCTGAACCTCATGAGAATAAGTGTGTACTATATATCGATGTCATATGCTTTTAAGTATTGTCTTCAAAAGCGATTCTGTGAGTCTATGATATATTACTAGTATTTTTAAAAACTCAATTGAAACTGCAAGTTTACTTGAAATGAGGTTGCATGGACTAATAAAAATTCCATGTCTCTTTGTTAGGGCCTAGGACTTTGTAAACTCATTGATGGTACCTTTTGTATCATGCAGACCAGAAGTTCTGTTTGATTATTACCTATGTAAATAATTAAGAGAAATGAATTTTTTTTTTAATTTAAAAAGTGTAGTTTGGGGGAAATGAGAAAAGGGATTTAATTTTTCATCATGAAAAATTTAGGAATCACTGCTTACCACTACTATCAAATATATATTATTTTCTTCTTATTATTTTATTATCCCAGAATCTTAGGCTTCTGCTGTCATTTCACCATATTTTAAGAAAGAGATCCTAACTGAATCAGAAGTTACCAACTGGGTAAAGACCAGTGAGTGATTATCAAAAAGGCAGAAAAAAATAAGTGCTTAGAGTATAAAGAGGGATAGAGGCAGAAAGAAAGCAAGAGAAAAATCTAGAAGAAAGCTTTTCATTTTAATATTCATGCCACTTTTGTGTCATTCTGAAAAATATAATTTAACTTTTGCGCTTTTTATTTAATTTGCATGATGTGGTGGAGGGGCAGGGTGGGGTGAGAGGGCCCGGCCCGCCAGACTCCCACCCTCAAGGCAACACTACCGGACTTGGGCAAGTCCCTCTGCAGCTCCGGCAGGCGGAAGACGTAGTGCACGTAGGAGGCCAGCAGGCAGTTCCTCCCGTGCTGGTCTTTGCTCAGGTCCTTGCTATTGTGCAGGCTGTTGGCAATGGCCACCACGGACTCGAAGGCAAACTGGGAGAAGTTGGCTGAGGAACCAAGATGAAAAATGGGCAGCTTCACAGTTGGTCCTTAATGCGACCAAGGTACATCGCTCTCCAGGGCCGTGACAGGGAGCCCTGCCCACTGACCAAGGGAACCAGGTTGGTCAAGATGGTGGCCTGAGGCAGAGGGAGTGCTTTAGGAAGCTTCAGCTTGCTGGCTCTGCGTAATGCCAATGACTTCGCATTTCCTCCCTCATTTTCCTCCTCCCACCAGCACTGTGGTATTTTATGACAAGGATGAGGCTGTCCCGACACTCTCCTGTCTCTAAAGCATGATGTGAACTGGTGCTACTCACTGAGGTCTACGCTGATGTTGTCAGCATCACCTGGGAGCCTGTTAGAAATGCAGAATCTCAGGTCCCTCCCCAGACCCACTAAGCCAGGACCTGCATTTTAACAAGATGCTCAGACGATTCTCGTGCACACTACGGTTTGAGATGAACTGCTGCATCTTGATGTACAGATTAATCTTAAAGTGTATGAATATGACGTCATTCCTTACTGGAACTTTACAAAGAGTTGGTTTACCATAGCCACTCTTGTTTGGGAGCTCAGCCCTCCACAGTCTGGCTCCACTCTACTTATCCAACCTTGGACCCTTTCCTGCTCAAACTCAACTTCCCCTAAAAGGAGGCACTGATTGTATTATCCCCATCACAGCGGCTCTTTGTCCTCTCTGCGATTTCGCTGACTCTGTTGTCCTCACCTAGAAAGCCCTCTTTCTCCTGCCTGCAAAACCACACCAACCGTTAATGCTCAGCACAATCCCATCTCCTCCACAAAGCCTTTAATACCACTCAGTACAGGTTTTAAGTGACACCAAATCAGAAGGTTCTTTGGCTGTTTCCAGTGGAAAATCCTGTCTTCCTCAGCAGGCTGGAAGCCCTTCCAAGGCAAAGTGCATTTTTCATACTATCTTGTCTCCCCCACTGTGCCTTCCATAGTGCCAGACACAGGCAGGTCTGAATAAATGCTTGCAGTCTAAATGCATCTGCTTATTCTGCCTGTTCTAACACTGTTGTCCCCACGTGACCAGGCAGCAACTAGCTATGGAGAAGAGGCTCAAATTGTATCAATGAACATTTTGTCAAATACACAAGTCTACATTAAATAACTGAAACATACAAAGCAGTGTGCCACCTAAGTGGGAGCATAGAAAGAAAGCTAGGGGTGGGGTAGAGGTCACTGCTTTGCAGGAATCTAGCTGGGGAGGCGACAGCTGCATGTATGAAGTGTAGGCCTACAACACAGGATGTCTACTCTACAAAAGACACATCCCAGGATACAGTGCAAACCAAGGGATTAAGAAGACACGCTCTTCCCTGGCCTGCAGGTTCAGCAAGCACCCCTTTGGCCCACTCGCACCACCAATTTACTCATATCCCATAACCCAGCTGTGCTATTGGTTTCTTTCTTCACACCCCCGTGCTTTTCTGGTTCTCTGCTTTTGTCACTCTCATTTCACTGTCCCCATTTTGGCTGCTTTCTCTCTTCCTCTCCTTCAAGGTCATATCAAACACTCTTCCTCCCAGGAGCCTCCTTCATCCTCCCAAATGGATGTTTTAATGCCTCTTCTCCCCCCAATATCTAGCTGTGTCCTTTTGAGGATTCTTGTCTTGTGCTGCTGCTCTTCACTATATTGTAGGTCCTCTGAGGTCAGATAGGCTCTTAGTTATTATTGCGAAGTCTACAACTGTTAGCTCAGTACCGGGAGCACAGACGGTACCAAAAAGACATCCACTAGACTCAGTAGCACAGGATAATATAAGCCCAGCTGAAAACAGCGTCAGACAAAAATGCCCCACAGCAGCCAGCCTGCCCCTGTAGGAGTCAGGAGAACGACGGGACCCATGCCTTACATGACATTATTTCTGAAGGAAGTTTTTACACATCGTATTTAATGTTAATTTGTTAAAAGCAAGCATTTAAAATATACTGTAAGTCAGAAAACAAATGAGTGGTTCCTGTGCATGGGGAGTGACTGCTAAGAAGTATGGGATTCCATTTGGGGTTGATGCGAATATTCTGGAATTAGATAGTAGTGGCAGTTGCACAACCTTGTGAATATATTAAAAACCACAGGATTGTACACCTAAATGAATTTTACAGTATGTTCATTACATCTCAATGTAAAAAAGTGATCACATTGCATTTCAATTTAGAATTCCCTTCCTTCCATTCAATGAAGTGTCTTATTCTTTTTAAACATTATATTTCCATGTTGGTCAAGAAAATAAAAATATCTTAGAAGTACAAGAAATACATCAACTACCAGGAATGGAATTTGAAAGACTACCTCTCATCATTCAATAAATTTATTTTAAAAACTATGATATTAAGCATTCACTCTTAATTTTTTTTTAACATCCAGGGGGAGTCCAAAAGTAGTATTGGATTTAGCCTCCCTTGGACTCTCAGCATCAACCGAAAGGAAAATCACACTGTTGCTGTTCCCAGGATTTCTGGAAAATCATGTTTCCTAACACAAGGCTGCCTGCCCCTCCCCAGCCCCAGGGCCTCCTACCCGTCTGGCCGGCAATGACCATGGGCTGCACGGACAGCTGGAAGAGCTTGTCCAGCACCAGGTGCAGGAAGAGCACGAGGGGCTCCAGGCGGGAGGAGTTGAGGCAGATGAGGCTGAGCTTCAGCTCATGTTCCAGCGCTGTCTCAGTGATCTTCTGGTCCAGCACGCGGATGGGGAAGGTCACCTGGCTCTCCAAGGAGTGGCAGAGAGTGAAGAACTTCTCCAGGTGGTTGTCCTGGAAGGCAGACAGCAGGCCTCATGGGTCTTACCAGTGGATACATAATTTTTATATTTTATACCGTCAAGACTCACCAGCGGATGCATAAACACAATCACATATAAGAGGTTCCTTATATGCAGAACCTCTCATCCTATGGTTTAGGAATAAGGTTGTGAACTATGTTGTAGAATGGTGTGCAAAAAATAAAACCTCTTGATAATTATTAACTGAAGAAAAAAACAGTTTGGACTCTGACATGTTCTGTAAGCAGGGGGAAGCACAACAGGTAAGCATACACAGCCAAAAAGGGGTCTACATAGGTGCAAAACTCGAACAGTGGCAGGAAAAGGAGGGAATGTAGAAGCGGGGAACAAAAGGCGGGTGACATGGCAGAATTACAGAGGGGAATGAGATAGGGACTTCAAATGAAGCCTCCCCACACACTTTCTCAGCCAGCAGTGCAGGGACTGGGTTACTTCATTTAGTTGTTCAACCTCTTTATAAGGTCATCCCATTTAAACAACATTTAAACTTGAACAGGCTTGTAAGTCCCCATAAAGAACTAAAGGTTATTTTTGTTTCATCCATGCACAAAGCTTTGCATTGGTCTTTTACTGGACTGTCCTTAGAAGGTTCCCTGCTGTACCCCCACCTTCGTTATCAGCCTTCTGGCTCTGACATGAAGTGGACGTTCATGTTCCTTACCTGGGTGTGAACAGAAGAAACAGCTTGCACTTCAATATTAAATACTCCCTTATGTCCTTCAGCCCACTTAATGGGAGGATTCTGTATAGGGACTTTCTGTGTTAGAGGGAAAAAAATAAAGATAACAATTCAATCCCCTTTTCTGATTACTAACAAGCAGAGCAAAGAAACTTGGCTATAAATGTCAGGGTTACACAAACAGAAAACTCCTTGGAAATGAATAGAACTGGCCTTGGGGTTAGAAGCTCTGGGTTCAAGCTCAGTTCTGCACTGAACCTAGTTATTATATTTTGCTGTGTATAATGCATAATTTTTTGCCCATATTTTTGAGGAAAAAATAAGGATGCACATTCTACATGGATAGTACTAATTCTGTATCTATATAAATGTTTTTAATTCTTTTATTTATGCTTATGCATTAAAAGTGTAACTCTAAAAAGCAATAGCAATACCTATATGTTAAAAAATAAGTGCTAAAATTCCTTTATAATACAAAAAACAAGTATCTAAATATAAATAGATAAAAAAATTGAATTAAATACCTAAAATGAAAGATTTTTTTCCCGGAGAGTTTGGGCCCAAAACATTGGGTGCACATTATACACAGCAAAATATGGTACTTTAACAAGTCAATTAAACTCTCTGGAACTTCATTTTCTAGTGTTGAAGGGAGGGGTTTGACTGAGTGATCTGTCTTTAAGCTCCCATACAGTATTGATAAATTATTGATGCTAGGAATTAAAATAAAGAAATACATTGGCAATTTCCCCATTAATCAGGTATGTCAGGACAAAGTATGGAGTATCTTTACACAACACAAAATTTTAATGCTTTTTTGAGTGTCTGCAATTACATTCTCTTTTAACAAAATGTTTCTAAGTAGGAGCCCTGCTAGGCTCCTGCTTTAATTACTAAAGTGACTCTTTTATACCATTTATGTACCTATAGTTCTATGCTCTGAAGCTGCCATTTCTTGTCTTAAATTCCCAAGGCATTATCTTCCTCTAGAGACATCAGGCAGCGTTGGGTGAGCACGGCCTAGCCTGCCACAGCCACCACGTGAGTGTGGATTTTGCATCTCTTGCATTTTAATGGAAGGAAGCATGCTGTATTTGCAAGGGCCAGATGTGTGGATGGGGTGGGTACTTGTGGAAATGTCTAAGAGAGAGTCACAAACTGGGGTCAAAGCTGGATCCAGCCCACAGGCAAGTTCTGTTTGACTCAGTGTTAGAAATTTTTTTGAATTAGTTGCCAACATTTGAAAGTCAGAAAATTTCACATGAAAGCCTATTTGTCTAACTTCTTTTGAGAACTAGAAGATATGAAGACATTGGGCTTGCATCCCAGAATGGCACTGATTTGTGGAGTGGAGGAGCAGCTGTGACCTTCAGTGGGCAATCTCCAGCATGAACAAATTCCACTCATTATTTTTTTTTTTTTGAAGATTTTATTTATTTATTTTTTAGAGAGAGGAGAAGGGAGGGAGAAAGAGGACAGAAACATCAATGTGTGGTTGCCTCTTGCACGCCCCCTACTGGGGACCTGGCCTGGAACCCAGTCACATGCCCTGACTGGGAATCAAACTGGCGACCCTTTGGTTCCCAGGCCGGTGTTCAATCCACTGAGCCACACCAGCCAGGGCTGGCACTCATTATTAGTGAGTCCAGCTCCTGGGGACACTGGAGTCTGTCATCTATGATCTTAAGCATGATGGTCCACTAAAAAATGTATCATGAGCCACATGTCACAAAATTTTCTAGCAGCAACATTAAAAAAATTAAAAAGGTGCATGCGATAGCAATTTTCATGCTATTTCATTTAACCCAATAGAGCCTAAAGATTGTTCTGATATATAATCAATATAAAAATTATGAACGAGATAGTTTACATTCTTTTTTTCCTCCTTTTGAAAGTGGGTTTGTATTTTCTACTGAGAGCTCATCCCAGTTTAGACAAGCCACATGTGACTAGTGCCAACTGTACTGGACAGGATATGTCTAAAAGATATAAGGAGGGGCTAAGGGTATATCTACAAAGATGGCTTAGGGCAGGAATGAAAAAGGAAATATTTACTGAAGCATAGAGTTTGATGCTTGATATGTGTTATTTCATTTATCATTCACAGCAGCCTTGTAGGCAGGTGTGGGTTAGATTCATCTTTGAGACGCAAAGAGGGTAAGCAACTCATCCATGTTCACACTACTAGGGAGGGGCAGAATCTGGATTTTGGATAAAAATTTGTCTCTAAAACCAAGTTTGTTCTGCAGCATTAAGGAGGTAATTGAGGGTTCTAGGAAATTAGGATGTGCATGATAAAAAGGTGGTTTTGAGGTCATCAGAAGGGACTACATGTCCAAATCATAAAGAGTAATCAGGGAATGGCTACGAGCACACTCAGGTGGTTCTGAGGAGAGCAGTTTTGGTCTAAAGCCAGGCACATGACTGCCCCCAGGGCAAAGAGATCTCTCACCAGAGAAAAAAGGAAATAAGAGAAAAACAGAATAGCCTAGGAAGGAGGGATGGGTAGTCTGAGAAGGGGGAAAAGTTGACTATTAAAGTTGGGGATAAATAAAAGTCCTGGGAAATTCTTCAACTTGAAAATTACAAAAGAAAAACACAAAAGAGATGGTGGGGAATCTGTATAGATTAAAGGAGTCTCAGATTAAAAGACAAGTCAAGCAATAGCAATGTATAGACCTTATTTGGATCCTGATTCAAACAAACAACTATTAAAAAAAACACGACATTAATGAGATAATTGGAAATTTGATCACTGACTGGATATTTGAAGATATTAAGGACGTACTAATTTTTAATGTATAACAATAGTATTGGGATGGTTAAACAGTCCTTATCTTTAAAAATACATATTAAAATCTGTAAAAATGAAATGCTACAATGCCTAAGATTTTCTTCAAAATAATACCTACTGAAATCAACCAAATACAATAAAAAAAAAAAAAAAAAGCCTATGCCAACCAGACTGAGACCATGAGGGCTGGTGCTGGTGCTGCCAGAATGGAGAGTCCACTGGGCTCCCGTTTAATGGCTGCGTTGCAGCAGAGCGGCTGGGCAAGAGGCAGCACAGGAAACAGGAGAAGGGAAAGACCACGGGCACTGGCAAAGGAATGAAAACCCCACTGTCCATCTGGGGACGGTGACAATTGACCCAGAGGAGAAACGGATGGAATCTAACCTGAGAACCGTTTTTAAGGATCCATGCTGAGAGTAGCTGTTACCACAAGTGGGCTCTATTTGCCTCCCCTTTCTCTCATAACACATCATTCTGTGAATCCCTTTTTGTAGATATGCAAGGTAATGCTGCCTCTGGCCCAGGCCGCATTTACTAAACATTCTGAATTGGTGATTTCTAAATAAATGAGTTTTCGGGGCCCGTTGTTTTTCCAGTCCCATCAGAAACATGTATTCTCAGAAACACCATATACTGGCAGGTGTCTGTTCCCTGAAACTTGTCGAGCATCCCCAATCCTGTTTAAGGGACTGGGGAGTGGATCTGGGAAGGTGGTCCTAGACCATGGCTGGAAGAGAAACAGCCGATGGCCAGCTTGCTGGTTACCTCTGCAGAATGCATGGAGTAGTTGGGTGGCAGCCTTTCCAGGGCAACTGGGAGACAGTAGGATCCTGTTTGAAGACGTTCATTTAAGAGAATTGGCAGCCACTGAAACAGATGATGTAAAGAATAAAGTGGAATTTATTACTACATATAATTTTGGCAATTTATCTAGCTCACAATAATCAAACGCAACTAAACAATGATTAGATATTGACCAGGACTCTTTTTGGCAGTAATTTCTGTCAAGTTCTTTGCATTTTAAATTATCCAAGAGCTCCTGAGATCCTAATATCAAGGATTTACTGTTTTCAGAGCCACAGCTGTAGCATTTTTCTTTAAAGCCAATGTGTGTATGTGTCTGAACAGCATCAATGTTTATGTTAAGTTTTATAACTTTTAAAGAAATAATGTTTTGCTCCCTGGAGAAATAAAAAAGAGCTAGTTTTATACAGGGGTTGGCAAGAGTAGGTTTAGAGTTGTGAGTATGTGAAACACGGGGTTTATTCTTGTATTATTATTTATTAATTCTTGTATTGTTTCCTATATGAACAACTGTAAACCTATTTTTGCCCACCCTGTATGTGAAGCATATATAAAAAAATTTGGAAATACTATGTACTGCAATGTTTTTTCTAAAAAAAATAAACAAGTGTTCTTTCAAGATCTATCTCCTACTCGCTTTCCATTCCTGAAATTTGTCATTTGCTAAGACAAGTTATCTCTGCTATGTCCTATAAGCTGGTTTGGCACATTCTGTTACTTCTGACAGGAAAAAGCAATGGAATAGAATTCAGTTGTTTATTTCTGCAGGGACCTTGGATGCACCAAAAACTTCAGTGTGAATTGGCAAGTTGAAAACGACTCACTGAGTATCCCAGGAGAGTTTCTACGGAGGCTCCTTGCTTCTGCTGACAACTAATATGATAGAAGGTGAACAGGAGGTGGTGATTTACTGTGAGCTTGGCTGGGAGCTTAATTTTCACTTCTTCATAGAAGTCAGGAGACCTGTTTCAAAAGCACATTACACACACATAACTTTTAGCAAGAATGGTGACTTCTCTGACTATAAATTGTACCATAGCGGACCCTTTGTTCTTCAGAATTTGTCTGCTTGGTGTTTTGCTTTTCATTTTACATCATTCTGCCCCTCAGCTGGAAGTCCTTGACCCCATGGTTATGTCACTAGATACATTTCACTTACATAGGAGCTAAAGACTTCCGGGTAGACAGGATTTCCCCACATGATGGAAAAACCCAGCAACTGAATTTGAAAAGGGTATGAGGTTCAGTGCCCTGCTGTGACCCCCCTTTCTATCTCTACCCCAAGAACAAAGACAGGCACATCAAAGGATTTTGGAGAAACAAATGAATGATGCAGGCGGCAAAGATATCTGATTTTACTGCATTACGAAGTCCCAGATACTTTACCAAGAGCTTCACGTACATTACTTATTTATTCTTCTTCCCAACTCAGGAATATGGGCTCAGAGGAAGACTTAAATGGGCCAAGGTTATCAGGCCAGGATCAAACCCAAGCCTGCCTAACCCTGTACAGATTTCCCTCCTCTACCTGTAAAATGTGAGGAATAATTTAAACATTATTTTGGAACTCAATTTACCCACATAATAAGAAGTGTTCCATTTCCCCTTTGGTCAACTTAAATTTTCATAAACTAGGTGGTGGCACAGGTGAAGAGTAGGGTATAGAAGACAATGAGACAGAAAAAGGCAGGCTGGATGTTGTTTTTGGCCCCCTCCAGTATCTCAAAGCGAGTTAAGAAATATATCTTTATTTAACACCATAAGACGCCTTTGTATTATACTAGAATAGAAGGTTCCAGAAAAGTCAAAACAATATTAGGCTCCTGAGGATATGTTCTTCTCCCAGTCTTAGGGGCAAAAAGTGTGCCTCTTCAACACAGAATCATGGAACTAACATAAATTCCCTCTGTCGCTGAGTCCCTGAATTATAAACACCATTGGAAGGAATCAGAATGGGATCCAAAAGAGCCAACAGATAACAAAATAATCTTGGCATGTGTTGAGAACCAAAATATACTTACTTATTATGGTATGTGACGGCTGTGTACACTTCCTGCAGAAATTCGGGCCCACTGGACTTTCCAAAGATAACCTGTTCCCCAATACAGAAAGGACCAAACCAACAGTCATATTTGGACATATCAAATCAACCATCATCAGCCCAATAGGATGCTCTGTTCTTGTAGAGCTATATTTTGTAAAATGAGAGTGCTGAGCTCTCCAACTAGCCCAGGCACATAGATTCAAAAGAACTGGCTATGGAGGGTAAAGTGAGGCCTGAAGGGGCTGTATTAGTGACCAAGGGCCACAGGTTTGTGACACTGGAAAACTGGTGCTCTGCCCATGCTGCCTCTCTGCCTAGAGGTCTGTACTTTTTCGCAAAGTCACATCATTTTGCCCTCAGTTCAAGATCCCTGGTTGTGGCTCCTTTCCCTCCAGAGACTCGGGCCTGGTCACTGGGCTGATCAGGACCTTCACTGACCACAGGTTTGTACTATTTAGAAAAGACACCTCTTGGGCCTGATTCAGCTCTAATGGTACATGATTTGACAAATGGATTCACCTTTGGGCGAAGGGAAAAAGGGCCCTTTCTACTGGAAAGGGATGCAGGAATCCCTTTGCTGGGTCCCAGGGATTGGTGAGTAGAGACCAGGCTGGAGTTTGGCTGCCACTCATCCTTGGCTGCACACCTTGGCTACATTCAGGATCTGCCCAGCTATACCTGGCAGCTCTGGGGGACTTGCCATGAGCCAGAGCAGAGAGAATCAGGGGAGTCCTCCTCTAGGATTTTCTCCCCGCCACCACTGCAAGAGAATATCTTGTATTGGAAAGGTAGAGGAGACATTAGGAGGATTTTCTTAAAAAGGAGATACGTGAAGAGCGGAATGAATGAGAAAAAATTATATCAGTAGGGAAGTATAGTAATTGGAGTCTATGACTTACAGAAAACAGGAATAGCTATCAATCCCATTTGTGGCAGATGGTTAAAAAAATACAGATTCTGGTATTTTGGGTTCCTTAGAGAACACTGCATTATATATTTATTATGTGATTTATATTTTGCCCCAGCATGAACATCCAGTCCCAAAAGGTGTTGAGATGGCATGTGCTGATTATTTTTAGGCATACTTGGCATTCATCTCTTGATGTGGACTGGGGCTTGGGCGACGTGTGCTGCCGCGCACATCTGGAAGTGCAGTGAACACAGCAGGCACGCTGGGCCCGTCTCTCTACTTCTCATGCTGCAAGGGTGGCGTGGACTTTATGGTGTTTTTCAGTCTTCTAATATAATCTGTATTTTCAAATTTCATAGTTCCTTACGGAATGAGTCAGGAAAGAAGCTTACAATTGATACTGACCCCATTTCCCCATCAGTATGTTGGGACCAATACTGGATGAGCCACAAAGGCCTCTGCACAGGCTGAGGAGCGCTGTGCTGAACAGACATACTCAGCACACTCACGAGCCCTGGACTGTGACTGCGCGCACTGACAAGGGAAGTTCAGCACACCTTGGGCTGAGGCAAATGTTTATTTCCCTCTTTACCGGCATAGCGTTGCTAGGATCCTCTCCACACATAAACTGGATCTTTATTGTAATGTTCCGAGCAGACGCTAGTTTGTTAGCAAAGTTCAGCCTCTGTGGGTAGACATAGAGAAGGTTTCTGGAAAAGAAAAGATGAAGAACCAGTGAATAAGGCCTAGAGCTTATTTTAACCATGTTCTTCAGTGAATACTAAAGCCTGCACTCATGAGGTGATTTTTCTGAAGATTTTCTTTTCAGAAATGAATTATTTTTGGAGGAATGAGCGAGATACTGTTGCTTCTTTCTCCCCAGCTGCAGTCGTCTAATAATAACCAACACTGGTTTTTGTTTTGTTACCTATAAAAATGTGTCTGCTGCAGCTGAGAAAGTCTTAATATCTTAGGTATGTAAATCTTCCTAGGGGCAATCACATGTCTGATGCACAGATAAAAAAGCAAAAAAGGTCCAGCTTATTTTAAACAAAATTCATGGCCATAGATGATGGCTTCATTTCACGTCCTCTCTAGTTTCAATTTTCTAAATGGTTGACATTCTGTATTGGTTTAGCTTTCTTTTCTTATCTAAGATGACAGTTCAAATGAACTATATAACAATAACATAACAATGATATAAAAGATATATCCACTCAGCAACTTCAGGACAGGTTATAGGCTCAGTATAATTTTGTGACTCTGTATTTTTTCCTCTGTATTTGCAGTACTACTAGTACATTCCATTAAAAGGTAAGCTCTATGAAGAATTTTAATCTGACATTTTTAATTCACTAATATATCTCCAGCAGCTAGAATAGTGCCTGGGACATAGTAGGTGCTAGCTAAATCTTTGATGAATAAAAAAATGAATGTGTATATTTTTAATGAACTAAGCAGATACTAGATTAGAGGGTCTAGGAATCAGGTCTTTTTTTTTCATATTTCAGTCTACATGAACTTTTAGAGTGAGTTTAAAATTTTATTATGTAAAATATTTCATGCAATTTATAATTGTTAAAAGCAAAGATATATATTTTACTGAATCTTATAAAACCTCTAGTCTTATACCAGGTGTCAAGCTAAGACTAATTCCATCACAAACAGAAAGCCACATCACAAACCAGCATTGCTCAGTCTGTTCCACAAAACCTCTGAGCTTTGCAAAATGTTAACAAGTATGTGGGGAAGAGGAGGAGGGGTAGGTGATGAAAAGGTTGTGTAAACCAAGATAAACAGCTGAATGTGCCTTGTGAATCTCTCATGGGGGGGAAAGACTCTGCTCTTTTCCCCAAGTTTTTGACCTCAGAACTCATTTCACTGATTTATTTTTTCATGGTATATTTCACAAGTTTAACATTCTCAGAAATCATTTGGGAAAACAACTGAAATAGCTTTTATAGCTACAGAAGAACATTCCACATCAAGGAAGGAAGAGTTAGAGCCCAAGAATTCTCTAGTGAAATATCTTGCACAATAATGAATGCTCTCAGGTATTCAAGAAGAAAAAAAAAACAACAATCTTTAAAAACTGCCGAGAACACACAGGAGCTGTTATTCTTTGCATGTGCAAGTTCAAAGGCCATGGAGACAAAAAAAAAAAAGAAAGAAAGAAAGAAAAGAAAGGGGGGGGGCAAAGAAGCATTTCTATGTCATACTCGAGCACAGTTTCTCTATAGTGTATAACTCACCAGAGGCAGAATAGGGGTGACACAGTGTTGGGAACAGATGTGAGTCACTGTATCCTATGACCTGTCTAGGCTACCCTGCCTCTTGCATGTCATTACCCTGACATAGTAGCAACTGGCACCACCACTTGAGGGGAGTGAGGGCATCTCCCCTCACTTGCTGGTCTTCATTTCCAGCTCTTTCTAGCTACTATATGGTCCTCTTGTTCTTTTTTTAACAGGGTCATAACTGGCTATAAATGGTCTACTGCATTGACCCCTTCCCACATTCTGGTGAAAAAGAAGATAAATGCAAGACAACTATTTCATCAAAAGGAAGTGAATTAAATTTAGATGATGGGAAGAATACTCAATGAGCTTCAAATATCAATGACATGTAGCTGAACACAATGAAGGGATTAGCATAAAATTCTGGGGTATGAAAGATGGAGGCACCTAGTCCAAGCCCCAAATTTTAAAGATGAGAAACTGAGGCCCCGAGACGTAATGTGACAGTTCACTTTGAGTTAACCGTAGAGTGGGCACAGGATCCAGTTTAGAGCTGTTTGGACTCTATAATGCACTGGCTCAGTGACACCTTCAAAACCATCCTCTGTCAAACTGAGGGGGCTCCACCTTGATGCAGGCAGGTATAGGGGAACCTCAGATGCCATCAGGAGTGGACATGGTAGTAGTAGTGGCAGAAGGCAGTTCACATGTGGGTGGGGGGGTATATGTGGGGTATAGACCCCTCTCTGCTCACTCTTGTTCATCTGCTACCACTCCCATCAGCAGAGCCCATGCTTACTGAGTGGCAGCGTCAGGGGGTGGGTAAGGTGCTGGCTGTGCAGCCCAAGAGCTGGCCTTGGACAGATTACTGAGCCTTTCCAAAGCTCCTGTGAGGCCAATAACTGTACCTACCTCATAGGGCTGAGCTGAGCATTAATGAGTAAGAGCTTAATAAATGAGAGCTAAATGATGATTATTTCTTCTCTAAAGCTACTAAGTGACACATTTCAACCTACACACCCTACTCCAAACCACTCTCATTTCTCACCTGGACCACTGCAATAATTTTCCAACTCACCTTTTGATTTCTATACCTGCCCCTTACAATCTATTCCTTACATACAGGTCAGAAGGATCTTGTAAAAGTATAAAATAGATTATGTCAGGTCCTATAATAGTTTCCCAAATTTCATATCATGGGCCTATACCATCTGGCCTTTGACAATTTCTCTAATTTTATCACTTATCACTTTCCCACACTGGCCTTTTTCAAAGCCTAGAACATACTAAATTTATTCTCACCTTGTACTCTCTGCTCCTTCTGCCTAGAAAAGCTTCTCTCAGTTTGCCATGTAACTGATTCCTTCTCATCGCTTGGGTTTCAGAACACACATTACATCCTCAAAGAGGTCTTTCCTGTCATCCTATTTAATTGGTTCATCCCACTCACAAGCATTCTGTCTCTTTTATAATGATAAGATTAGCATAAATACATGTGATGATGAAAGTAATATGTGGTTGTAAAAATAATATGTACCCATTTTTTAAATTTTTTGAATATTTGAGAAGTAAAGAAAAGGAAGAATAAACTGGCATCCTGACCCACGTGGCTCAGTTGGTTTGTTGTCATTCTGCAAAGCAAAAGGTCTCTGGTTCAATTCCTGGTCAGGGCACATGCCTGGGTTGTGGGTTCGGTCCCCAGTCAGGGTATGTAAGAGAGACAACCTCCCTCTTGTAATCACCATACTGTTGTCTGTGCCCAGCCCCCCAACACCCACCCCTTTGGCAGATGTCAGTCTGTTCTTTGTATCTATGACTCTGTTTCTATGTTGTTTGTTCGTTTATTTTTTATTAGATTCCACATATAAATGAAATCATATGGTATTTGTCTTTCCCTGACTGCTTATTTTACTTAGGATAATATTCTCCAGGTCCATCCACGGTTTTGCAAAAGATACAATTTCCTTTTTTTTTTTTTAATGGCTGAGTAGTATTTTATTATATAAATGTACCACAGCTTTTTTATCTACTCATCTACTGATGGGCACTTTGGCTACTGGAAATAACACTGCAATGAACATAGGGGTACACATATCCTTTCGAATCAGTGTTTTGGATTTCTTTGGACACATTCCTAGAAGTGGAACTGCTGCATCATTGACCTGCTCTTGTTCAGTAGGATCAAGTCAGTATGACAGGGAGAGCTCCTGTAGGGGTTAATATGCCCATGAGCCCTGTAAGTTCTGCACCACATCTTGGGACCTTTGTTCACCTGAATATGCTCAATGACAAGAGAATCTACATCTTAACCCTGAAGTCCAGCATTATTCCCTGCATTTTTAAGCAAGTGCAGCAAAAATTCAGCACTCTTTTTGAGCCACTGAGACTGCATCCAGACCCACTCTTTGGCCTGGGCTCACCTACCCACTCCACCATTGTAATCATGGAATGGCATACATTGCTTCTTTAAAGGGACATCCTTCAGGTACTTGGTGGCTTTTCAGACATGCATACCCTTGATGGCGTGGGCCGTTTCACAAGTGTTCTTAAATTGAACACAAAGATTTGAGCCTCTTGATTTGAATGATTTCGTGGGGTTTTCTGGGTCAAGTGAATAGCAAACTATTTTCAGAAGCCATCTCAGGTCACTTATGGAAAGAGCAAATATTCTTTTTTTAAAAAAAATTCTCACTAGAGAACATGCTTATTGATTTTAGAAAGAGGGGAAGAGAAGGAGAGGGAGAGGAACATAGATGTGAGAGAGAAGCATTGATTGGTTGTTTCTCATACACACCCTGACCAGTGACCAAACCTGGAACCTAGGCATATGCCCTGACAGAGAATCAAACCCATGACCTTTCAGTTTATGAGACGATGCTCCAACCACCTGAGCCAGGGTGAGAGCAAATATTTTTAATAAACCTGATTTTAATGGCTTCATGATATCCCATATTATGAATGTGCCATAATTTGCACTAGTCGCCAAAGGTTAGCATTTAGATGATTTCCATTTTTTAAAAATTATAAAGCTGTGATAAACATTTTTATACATATATATCTTGCCCTTCTGCAATGTAGTATACTTTTGGAAGAATCTCCTTTAATTCTGTAGAGTTCCTCATCTTTGAATTAATTGAAAAGACACCAATCAACCTTTCTTTATGCTGTGCTTAAAGAAATAAGGAGCCAGAGTGTGTACAAATGCTTTGAAGTAGCTAGATGAAAGGGTCTGTGTAAATCACAGCAGCAGTAGCCCTGCCAGACTGGTTAGGCAACTTAGCTGTCACTACTCTCCTCTCCTACAGCCCAATCCAAGGGCAGCACCTACCTGTTTCACACATCCCCCAACAATGGTCAGCAATTGTGCACATTGCTTCTAAAGGGGCTGCTGACCCCTCTGCTCAAACAACATCACCCCGGCATTCAGTGTCCTTCCCGGTACTGAATACCCTTTCCACAGAGTACAAGGCTGA